GCTTCTAGTTAAAAGGTCTTTATAAATTTCCTTATATGGTGCTAAGCACTTATGAAGAATAAAGCAAGTATGGAATAAGGGAAAAACATTCGGCAACATCAGAAGCAGAAGCGTCGCGATCTGGCAACATTGAAACAAGTTTCGTGGAGGACTATGTGTATCGACAGAAGGCGAGAAAAGAAAATTTACATACTTAAGTACTAATAGTTCACGAAAATTATTATTTTCGTGAACTATTAGTACTTAAGTATGTAAAAATTTATTACATTTCATGTTGTACGAGGGTTTTACCCAATTCTCGAACCGTGTCAGAGTGAATCCGTGCTATAACAGTACCGTGTTATATGGGGATGGTACCAATTCTCGAACCGTGTTAGAGTGAATCCGTGCTATAGAAGTACCGTGTTATACGGGGGTTACCTGTATTTAGATTATTATTTAGAGGCAGAAATCAGAGACGGGCTTTTAAAATTCTGAGTTAGTCATGGGCTTGGTCTACCAATTCTACAATGTTGTTTATTATACAGCAAATACATACTATAGTTTTCATCATCATCATCATCATCATCATCATACGCCATTCACGAATTTAGGCCATATTGATCCGTTTCGTCAACTAGACAGGGTCTAGGAGTCATTTTAGTGGACGTCCAAGTCGTCGTCGTCGTCGCCCTCATGAATGATATTGTAAAACTGCATTAGGTATCCTACCCGGCGACATTCGAGACACATGTTGAAGCCATTTTTTTCTATATATGGAGATTTTTTCATGTAATAGTTGCATATTGAGTTCTTCCAAAATATCCTTATTTCGACGATGATTCAGTAGCGTATATCCAGCAATTCGGCGCATAAACCTTAGCGAGGTTGACGCCTAGCTTTAAACGCGAAAACGTGTACATCGGACGTTCAGTAAATCTTTTCTGTAAGTCTAGAAGTTTGATAATGGTGTTTGGATAATCAGTGGAATCATGCTCGACATTTCAAACACCATTGTCAAACTTCTAGGCTTACAGAAAAGCGGCGCTGAACGTCCACGTACACGTTTTCGCGTTTAAAACTTCGGCCTCAACCTTGCTCTTATCTCAGCTGTCTGTAATCTGTTAATATCTTTCTTCTTTAGGATCCAGATTTCACTTCCGCACAAGAGAGTCTGAGGAGCCAGAATTTTATATAATTTTAGTCTGGAATGTTTTTGCACAAGGTGTGGTTTTAAAGTATTTACTATTCCTAATATTTGTAAAAATTTTGTGAGTTTTTGATTTATGTCATTCTCACCTTCATAAGAAATATTACATCCTAGGTAAAGGAAATTATTAACTTGCTCTAAAATTGTATTTTAGATTACGATTTTGCTGCGTATTGGCTGTCTCTCTCTCTCTAAATGCCATTACTTTGGTTATAGCAGTTGAAATTTTCATGCTATATTCTTTTGAAATTTTATTTAAGGGCAGTTAAGTTCATTTCATCTATAGCCTCTTCTACCTATATCCCAACCTCACCTTCACGTGGTGCAACCCGTTAATAACAAACGAGGCTATGGGAACCGAGTCACAGCGGTATAACTGTTCCATCTAAAACAGAAGAAATATTGTTTTCCAGCTTGTCCAGGTGCAAAAGGAGGCAGCCCTATCACTGGACTACTCATCGTATGACTAGTAACCAGACATGAGGAAGTTCAGTTTTACTTTCAAGTCTGAACGAAACAGAAACCGGACGACTAATACAATAGTTATAAGAATAAAAATATGTTTCATTATAGTTACATTTTAATATGAATAGTTTCTCATTGAAGTTGAATGATAAAAAGCGGCAGAAACAAATCATTTTGTGTTACATGCTGTCATTTTAAATGTTTTTTAAGAAAAATTTAGTGAATACAGTTGAGATTTATACAGTATTTATGCTTGATGAATTCACAACAAAGCTTTTACAAATTATAATAAAAATAGTGTAATGTAAAACCTCGATTAATTGAGGCTCAGATAATTATATATTGTATATTTAAATCGCTGTATGTTGTATCAATGTTAATTAAAGTGTGTCACTGAATTAAACACTTAACCATTAAATATGCAGTAACTAACATTTACTAATCATCTAACATTTTCGGTACTTACAAAAGGACAAAGTCGTTCATGTTCCAAAAACGGTTTCTATTAGCTTCTATTTTTGGAATAATACGAATTTTAAAAACGTGCTCATCGGTTATTTTAACGTATTCTACTATACTACACGATACGTGCCAAAAACAGTAAACACATAAAACGTCTATTAGCCCTAGTGACATAACCTATGCATAGAAATGTTCTAAGCTATGCTTTCATATTTATACTCTCGTACTAGCATCCTCTTACATCGTTCGCCTTTCTATTTTATTTATCAATACTTTCCAGGCTGGTGAACCGTGGAGTTTTCTTATAATTTACTGCCTGCTTCCTCTGTAGCCATGCCTCCGCATATTTAATCCGTCGTTTATCCTGCACCTTTTGGATCATTTCTGCTCGGTTCCATTCTATCGTTATGGAATATGGGTCCGCTATGGCATAGGTCGCTAAGGTTTTGATAGGCTGCGCCTTTTGAACGTTACTTTTATGTTCTTTGATCCTCTGCTTTATTGATCTAGTAGTGTCTCCTATGTAGCATAAGTCGTCAGGCCATCTGCTGTCTTTTATAGGTATTCTGTACACGCCATTGATGCATATCGGGTCAATGGCCTCTTCGTCGTTCCTTAGCATCCCGTATACCGTGGGGTTTCTTTTAGTTTTTTTGTTAGTTTCATTTCACCCCGATTTCTCTGTAGACATTTTGGAGGTTGCCATGTATTCAACAACAGCTTATTCGTTCTGAAAATCATTTCTTTTCGTCTCCGCGTCTTCTGTTCTCCATTTGTATATCATTCTCTTTATCGTTTTTTTTTCTTTTGACCCCAGCCTGACCAGCCATCTCCTCGATGTATTCTAGCTCTCTAATCCTGTCTTGCATATTGATGCAATGAGTATATGCTCGTTTTATGAGAGCCCTAAATACTCCTAATCTATAGCCTACTGGGTCGTGGGAGGCCCACGGTATGAATATTGCGTTATACGTCGGCTTCTTGTAAATATCCGTGGTGACAGTGTTCCCTTTAACTTGATCGAGATGTCTAGGAAGTGCGCAGCGACATAACTTTCCTGCTCCAATTCTATTTCTAATCTAAATGTGTTCGAATTAATATCTTCCATAAATTTTCTGATGTTAGGTTTCTTCTTCCATACTATTAACACATCGTCTACATAACGTGCATATATCACGATGTCGTCCCGTATTTGAGTATGATTACTCTTTCTAATGATCTCAAAACTATCTCACACCATTATGGAAATGGAGCTGCCCATGGAAAGTCCTCTATTTTGTTCATACACCTACCCATCGAACATGAAAAATGATGAAAACGTAGCCAACTCTAGAATTTCCGCACGCAAGCTGCCTGAGTGATTTTGTTCAGTAGGAAGTCTTTCAGGTGACAAAAACACGGCTCCAATTTGATAGAGTACATCGCTTTAAAGTCCATCACCGTAATAAATTCTTCTTGTCTCAAGTTCACATTCTACAGCCTCTGGATTAGGTCTAGCGGTTGTTTTATGCTGTACTCGTGCGTTGGCAAATTCTCGCTGATTAGCCTATTAAGCGTGCTCTCTAGCATGATTGTGGGCGAGCAACACTTGTCTATTACCGGCCTTAAGCCTTTGCTAGGTTTGTAGGTTTTCGCAAACCCAAATAGCCTTGGTATTGAGAGAGAGGCGACCACTCCATTTTCTCCATCTTTAGTTTTCTTGCTATGGTCGTAGTGGCAAATTGTCTGACCATCGCTTAAAAACAGTCCGTCGTACGCGGACGGGCCGCTGCGCATCGCGTCTGGTTGATGTGTTCTGTTAGAAGCTTGTTATAGGTGGATCGCTTCATTTTTACCATATCTTTAGACTTGTCTGCCCTTACTAGCACTACGTTATTTTGTGCCATCCATCTCTTGCTATCATTTGTAGCCTTCCACATTAAGTTTGTGGGTGGATGCTGTTGGAATGTTCATTATCTTGAAGGCTGTCTTCCATCGGTAAAACTCCTTACTTATGTAACTTAAACTTTCGATCACTTGTTCAATATCCGGGACGATCTTCTCTAGCCGAAGCTTTGATTGTGGTACGAATTTAGGACCACACTTGCAAGCTTCTACGATGCATGGCGACAGTGAGAGGATGTCCAAACATATGATAGAGAGTGTAGCATGTCGCTGAATGTGACTCTTTTGATGCTTAACGATCCACCCCATTTTCTTATCGTAGATTTTACGCATTCTAGTGGTCACTTGGTCCGCTAAGCCTATCACTCTAACATTAACTTCATATAAGACTAAAGAACGAATTACTGATTACTGTATATGAGAAGAATCTAAAGGGACCAATTGTCTCAAGAGGTTATACTTTCTGCGACGTGTTGTTCGAATAGCCTTTCTTAGATATAACATATGTAATCTCGGGAGCATCTGTAGGGTAGATGTATTCTACAAATCGACATGGGATAGACTTTTCTTCCCCGGCATTCTAATAAAATATTAAACTTTGCTTCGCTCTTTCGAATCTTGATAACAAGCTTTCGATAATTTTTGGCTGGCGTAGCCATCTTTAATCTATTCCTTAACTGCACTATCACAATAACAAACACTTGACCATTAAATATGCAGCAACTAACGTTTACTAATCATTAAATATTTTTGTTTCTTTTGATTGACCTCCTTCATAAAATTAAAAATTTTTACAAAAATACAAAGCCATTCGTATTCCAGAAACGGTTTATATAAGCTTCTATTTTTGAAATAATACGAATTTTAAAAACGCGCGTGTCGGTTATTTTAACGTATTCGACTATATCGCACGATACGAGGCAAAAATCAGTAAACACCTGACTAATGCAGGCATTACTTTGACCATAAACTGCTGAATGTATGTATATATTATATTTAAATCGCTGTATGTTGTATCAATGTTAATTAAAGTGTGTCACTGAATTAAACACTTAACCATTAAATATGCAGTAACTAACATTTACTAATCATCTAACATTTTCGGTACTTACAAAAGGACAAAGTCGTTCATGTTCCAAAAACGGTTTCTANATAGTGTTATATGTAACATACAAAATTCATACAGGATAAATTCATATATTGCAAGAATGCTATTAAACCTCAAAAACAATCAAATGAACAAAATGTTGAAACAAAAGTAATGAACATGAAGTACTAAACTTTAAAATTATCACATTGAAAAATCACTGGTAAGATCATTATCATCGGAATCTTCCTCACTAGAATGTTTTTGTATGGTTGAAGCAGACGATGGTCTCCGAGTGTAACATTTTATCGTTGTTGCTTTTAAGTAGCTCCTTTGCTAATAACAGTGCTTCGCAGTAATCGGTAAAAACTCGATTTTGTAGTTTAGTTTTTATTAAATTTAATTGCAAAAACATACGTTCAACTGCTGCACTTGAATGAGGAAGCAATAAAAACATCTATTCACTGCCAAAGTAAAAAAAAATACAGAAATATAGAATAAAAATGAATGTTTTGAAAGGTACTAAATTGAAAGGAAAGGTATTAGGATTTCATAAATGGTACTAGGAAAATGGTGTTAGGTATTTTGGTACTGGAACAAGCAAAAAGGTACTAGATTAGTACAAAATTACTAGGTACCTTAAAATAACCAATACGAGCGTTTTTAAAATTCATATTATTCCAAAAATAGAAGCTTATATAAACCGTTTCTGGAATACGAATGGCTTGTATTTTTGTAAAAATTTTTAATTTTATGAAGGAGGTCAATCAAAAGAAACAAAAATATTTAATGATTAGTAAACGTTAGTTGCTGCATATTTGACGGTTAAGTGTTTGTTATTGATAGTGTCACTGAATCGTTTAAGTGTATTATTACTGCTAATATTTACAGCAAGTGTAAGAAATTTGTCAATAACAAAACAGGTTTAGACAATCTCTTAAAGTACTAGAACACTGATTTGAATTTATATCCTGAAAAAGGGCAAAATGCAAAAATAAATAAATATATATACAAGTGGTCCTCAACTTTTATACAATTTGCTCTTTTGTGGGTAACACTGACATCTCTAAAATTGCTTTTTGAACACCAAATTTACTTTCATACATTTTCTGCAAACAAATTAAAATTTCAGACTATTGTGTAGAAGAGTTTTCTATCCATTTTGGTTTGATAACATCAAAATTATTTGTAAAAATTAACTTTTATTTTTAAATAATTAGAACAAAAAGATAATGATGTAAAACAAAAATTCCTTTAATAAAAATTTTATCATCTGTCTTCTCCTTAAACTATTGGTTTTCTGTCTAATCTATCTGATGTTTTAAAAAATTGCATTGTAACATATTCAGTGTAAAATAAACTAAAACTTTCCTATCTTAATAAGAAAAGATATGAGATTTCTATTTGGTTCTCTGGGAATAGACCTTTTGTAAAATGACAATCTATCGTTTGACTTTCATACACACCTTAAGAAACACATTAAATCCAAAAGTTGAGAATTACCCTTAATTAGTTCCCTTAAAAGTTCCTCTTAATTAAAATTTAGCATAAATAAAATTTCTAAAAAGAATAAAATGAATAGATTTGTTAGAAGCATGCAGTATCTAAGACTGGATACAAGTGAGAGAATTTTCTACATGAGAAGATTAATGTCAAAACAATAGAAATTAAAGTACAACTAAAGTTTTACAGCATTAGACTAGAATATTTTGGATACCACTTCACGTTTATATAATTTTGATGTTGTTTTAATCTTAATTTCTAATTTATTTAATGAAATATGTATATATTTGTATTATATTACTTTCCTGACTGTTGAAGTAACAGAGGGAAAAGATTTTAATCAGTCAAATTTTGATCCTCTGGGCTTTTTGCATTTCTCAACATTTTAAAAAACAGGAACAAATTTCTGTATGTATGTGTACATGTGCAGAAGTGTCACGAGCTTGTATGGAGCCAAGGAGTAAAGCAGGTCTCTCTAGCCCCTTTGCATTCTTTTGAACAAATAAAATACATAGAATACTTCTATATTAATAAAAGCAGTCTTAAAGATTCTATTTTTGTTAGTAAAAATAACATATTTTATAAGAACCACTATGGTCACCTAAGTCTAAATTCCCAACTTGCTGTATGAATGCGTGTTGGCCTGTATTTTGCTTTATGTCTAAGAACTCTATAGATCAAATATTTTTGAAATTTGGCAGGAATACTTCTATTTATGGGGAATTCACGCTATTACATTTTGAGATTATAAGTCAAAGTGGGGGGATAGATAGAATAAAACAGTTTTACTCATTATTGGCATTTACAATTTTTCAGAAACTCACCTCTAAGGAAAGTAATCAATCAAAAAAAGACACCAAAGATTTTACATTTTTGGATTAGGGAGATCTCAAAACGTCATAAAATACAAAAACAAGTCGGGGATTATTTCTGTATGCATGTTCATGCAGGAGCCCATTTTGAAGCTTAATAAATCCTGTTCCTTTTTCCAAAGTTTTGCAGGGAGATTTGCATATTAGAATGAAACGTTTCTAAAAATTTTCAGGAAAATTGGACCATCAATTCAGTTGATATGGCTCCACCTCCCTAATACCTCCCAAACCAATCTGAAGACAAAAGGTAAATGGAAGCAATTATATTAGAAATGAAAGCAAAGAATGCTGGGAAAATCCAACAACAGTGCTGCCAGCTTTCTTGCAGCATAATTCTAACAGCAAACTGTTGATTTTCAGCATTTTATATAATTGTAACTATTTAATTAAATTGTTCAAGATCTGTTTAACTTCAAAATGTTCAATTCTATGTTATCATTCATAGAACAACCTGTCATTATTTGATAAACAACCTTCATACAGAAGAAGATGATGGCTTAAGTGTCCATATGGAGAATGTAAACATTGAGATAATTCTTAATTATTTGAGTGTTTTATTTGTAATAAAGAATACTCACCGATTTATTAACTATAATTCAATAAATAACACAAGATAATTCCATTTTTTTTCTTCTTTCTCAGAAGTTAATTTCCTTCCGCCGAATGGAATGCAACGTTTAATAACACATTACGTCTGCTGCTTCTGTTGTTATGGCAACAGTGTAAATAAGTCCAGACGATAAGGCGGATTCGGTTTCCGTTTGTGTAGCCAAAATGTCGCCAAATCATTTTATTATATTATTTATAATTAAAAATTTCTATTATCCACATAAATATATTATTATATTTTTAATTAATTTACTATTATTATTATTATTANATAGTAGATACACTGATTCAATATTTAAGATCAACATTATAGGAAACTGTAAAGATTGATATTAACAGCCATTGCAGCAAGCTGGGTAAAATAGCAACAGGCTTGACAATATTATGTTACTGGAGAGTATCATTGCACCTAAAGTAATAATATAATTAATATGTAAAATAGCAACAGGCTTGACAATATTATGTTACTGGAGAGTATCATTGCACGCCATATTTTTTTACGTCCGACGTCACGACACGTCATAAATATTTTAAATTTAAATTTTTTAGAAGTTTTTTTTTTACGTAACTGATTTGTTTTTATATAAAGAAAATTGTACTTAAGTCGGATATTTTATGCTATTGTATGAGAGATTTAACGATTAAATCTTCTCGTCCTAAAATTAAGTTAAAATGTAATCGGAATATACAGATTACCTGCTGTATAGACGTGAACTAGCAACTGCTTGAAGTGTTTTAGACTTGTGTTTATCAGTCTGCTGTCTATGATCAATCATCATAAGGTCTATTATAGTTTATCTCGAGTTATACAACATTGTTAGTCGTCTAATTTTGTATCTATATGTCATAGTTCATCCCAGATACAAAAAAATTACTTGGAAATGTAATAATAACTTTAAAAAAACTCACATGTCTCCTTATTCCATGATTAGAGATGATATTTTATCTGAAATCTTTACATATGACTAAGATTCTACTTAAAATTGATTTAATGATTTAAAAAGTAAGAATCTGTTGCATTTTCATAGATTTAGTATTTAAAAATATATGGCAAATGGAGAAAATTGTGTAATTGTTAAAGGTGATTTGTTATACTGTAGTATGAAAGTTAATTGTTCAAGAAAATATTACTGCATCACTAGAATACAAATAGTTATGTTTATTATTACATTCATTATGTGTTTATAAACAAGAAAAATTATGTAAATTTGCCTTCTTTTTATGGAATTTTGGGTAAATAGTAACATTTGGGTTTATAAAATGAACTTAAACAGATATCATATAAAGCATCCACTTTCAAAGTCTTCTTAACAAATACCTACCTCATAACTATCCAAAATCTTGAGTCTTTTTCTTCTTTTTTTCTTTCAGTAGATGGTAGTTCATATGGGGTCTTATGGCTGTACACCTTTACTCCAAGAGACTTGTGATTGATCGCTATGCGACCGAAGAGCTGGCCTTATAGAATGGCCTAATTGTGCGCGGGAAAAGAATGTCTTCCGGGAGGACTTATGAGAAACTGGCCCCTATCACGCATCATTGACATGGAGAAAACCCAGAAAATTCCATGCTGCCAGCTCGTCCGAGCGAGGTGCAAACCCACGACCGAACTCCCAGTGTTGAGGGTCTAGTCCACTCGTGTGGAGACGAAGACCGCTCAGCCATCTTGAGTTTTTATAAAGTTATGTGATTAAGAAATAAAAAAAATTTAGTAAAAGATTTAAATTTCTTTGAAGATACAATAGGATAAGATTAGAAAATGACAATCTTGTTAATGATAATAGCTCTCTTCCAGCAATCAATTAAACAATTGGTTAAAGAAACAATATCTTGTGTTTAATAGGGTAAATAAAACAAAAAATGGATTACATTAAACATTTAATTAACAACATTTAATGTGATCCATTTTTTGTTTTATCTTTGCCTTATTCTTAGAGTATGAGGTCTTTAATTCTGAACACTCATTCTCTAATACTATATTGTCAGTTTAGTTCACATTTATGTTATAACATGAACCACCATTCACCTTATCATCTTTAGTAAAAGAATCTTTTAACAGCATAACTTATGTAAAACCTTTCAAAATATGGTTTTTGTTTTTAAATAAAAAAAAAACATTAAATCCAAAATATTTAGAAATTAGTAGAATATAATCTCAAAAAACCTCAAAAACTGTAATTTAAATTTTTGCTACAATAAAATCTTCTGCTTCATTCTGTATTTAAATTCAAATTTGGAACTTCTCTGGGTCAACAGAGCCTAAGTCACTTCCTTTTTGAGGCTTAATATATTAAAATAAGTGTTGAAGAGTTTAAAAAATATATTAAATTACAATTTTTTAAATTTTGTTTAGAAAGATAGTACGTTATAAATAAGTCTGTAAAATTTGAAAGCATTAGAATTTATTAATTTTAAATTTAAGTATTCTGGGGCCTAGTCTTAACTACTTTTGACAATATCAAAGTTTCTGTATTCAATAACAGGGGGTTTACATTGCATATTCAAACACCAAACTGCATATAAGCATCTAAGATTGAATATATTTATACATTCGATTTCAAATATGCCATGTGAGCATTATGAGCATTATTACTCTTGGATACCAAAAATTTGGTATCATCAATAATAGTTAAGGTTAGACACTCTGTAATGGTTAATAAATTTAATTTTTAAATCAGAAATTTTTCAATTTAAAAGTTTATACTCAGATGATGATTCAAAATTTTTTACCACTCAAGACCACAAAATCTGTTCTTTCATTTTTTTATGAACTTTACAATATTTTATTTTACACATTTCTGAATGTTTTGGTTCAGTATCTTTCTTTTTTATTGACTAACTATGAATCTATATTATTAAAATAAGTGTAGTTCTTTAAATTCCAAATTAATAATTTAAAACAAATGATTATGGAGCAACTATTGAAAACTGTTTGACAATATTCTTGTAACTATTTTCAATATGTGGATAATTTAAGAATACAGTGGTGCCTCGTATAACGTATGCCTCAAATAATGGACGCTGCGAACAACAGACTTTCTGTTTGGCCGTTACGTGACTCGAGCAACGGACTTTCCGTTCGGCAGTTACGCGAGGCGAACAATGGTCTTTCTGCGAACAAGTGCGAATGATGTTTCCACTTTTTTGCCGTTGCCAATGACAATTTGCTATTTTTTATAATATATTAGTATTATTAGAATATATTATTAGTATATCTGAAGTACAGAGCTCCCGTTGGGATTCGGCTTGCTCCCTTGTTTATTATGTACATCAGTGCAGGTATTTACATTTATTCAAGTGTTGTGCAAATCATGGCTTCTAAAAAAAACAGAAAGGTGATTTCAATTGAAGCAAACCAAGACATCATCAGAAGGAGTGAAAGTTGACAAAAACTTCCTTGTCAAATGGGGATAGGTTCAGGAGTTTACCAACACTCATTATCCAAACAGAGCTGAGGCCAACAGGACCAATGATCTCTACAATGACACCCTTGCCCATCATTTCCGACAGATGTTGAAGAAGAGAGAAACAGATCACCTTGGACATGATTTTCAAGAAGCAAGCTGCCAAAAAACAAAGGATGGAACAAGAGGAGTTGACCACTTTGGACATGTTTTTCAAGAAGCAAGCTGCCAAAAAACAAAGGATGGAACAAGAGGAGATGACCCTGCAAGCTCCGGTAGCCGCTCTTGAATCTGACTCCGATTAAAAAACGATAAAAAGAGACCTGCTGCAATGTGTAAAAAGTCTGTATCTGTATGAATGTGTAAAGAAAGTGTTCCTCCACCTCCTCCTCACAGCATCTGACTACCTGGCATAATTGGTGACTGCTCCATTTTCATTTTTTTATGGTACAGTATGGTTATTTTATGCTGCAGAACGAATTATATGTTTTAACATGTATTTCTATGGAAAAATGCATTTCGTATAACAAACATTATACGAATAAATTGAAATATTATACAGACATTTTTCAAAATAAAATGTATCAGATGAGAGATAACTCGACATTCAATATTCTAACATGAGCATGAAACAAAATATCCATCAGTTTAATATAGATCAATGAGTGGTATGAAATTTTTTTCAATTTTTAGATCATCATTTTAAATGTCTAGAATGATCTTATTTTGTTGCAATTTGCAATGAATTTCAATGAATCTCTCTTGAGAAAAAGGTTATTAAAGTTCATTGAATTGAAGAAGAATGAAGAGATGAATGAAATCTTATAGTGAAATTAGCATATTCTACTTTATGCTGATTTAAACAGAAATTATGAACATGTGACTATGAAGCAATGGCTGTTCCATAGATGTAAGGTATACAATAGGTGGTTATGCAAACATTTTATTTACATTTTAGCAATTTTCTGTAGTATATACACTGCTGGTTATATTCTTTAAAATGTAGTAAATAGCCTATAAATTTATCAGTTAATGACACCTTTGTAATGTAGATATCTTCAGGAAAATTTTAGAATAAAACAAAATCAAATATTCTTCAAAAATTAAACTGTTGCAACATTGCAATATTTAACACTATGTGGCATCACCTCTCTCTCTCATTGGTATCATGTCTCCATTGATGTGTTTTATTATTATACATATCTGTAATTCTTTGTTGGAATTAAATCTTTTTTAAAGTCTTCCTTATCATTATTATAGTAAAAAATCAAGTCAGATCAGTAACAAGCTCTGAAGATAAACAAAAACATATCATAAATAAAGACTTAAAAGATATTCTGACAGACCATTAAACAACCAAAAAGTTGATTCTAGCAATTGGAAAATTATTTTCTGAATATTACAATAAAAAGAGAACAAAAATATTTTAAAGTAAACCTTAAATGTTAATAAAATATGTAATATTTTACAGATGTTAGATTAAAAGTCAATGAAACTAGTTCAAATTCAACTACAGTAGAACTTCACTAATTCAGACTAATTGGGAGAAAGCCTAGTCCAAATTAGTGAGGCTCTTATTCAAATGCATATCATTGGTTCCAAAAGTACACTTTATTTAAAATTAAATTTTATTGTGCACTTTAAATGAACAAATAGCAGTTTGATGAAATTTTATAATGCAAAAATAATAGCAGCATTGTTATTGTCATTGCCAACATTTACTAATTTGAACTTAACATCACTCCTTTTCTAACTGTTTACAGCTATAAAATTAAAACAAATATTGAAACTTATAAGAAATAATACAAAAGATGCTATTTTTTACATAGTATATGGGTTGGAGTTTCTCTTATAATTTTCGATTTAATTCACTTGGAAAACGAGTTATGTAATGTGTTGTTAATAGTACATAGTGTGCATATAACTTTAGCTTATATTTGAAATATGAATAAATGTAGAACTCTATTGTTTTTCTTTTACCATGCAGTACATATCTTTTTTAAACTAAATCCTAGAATAAATTATTATTAACAAGTAATTATTATGATGTTACAATGCTGGGCTGCAATTTTTAATCGTATTCTTAATTTAATATACAGTATATTCTTTCCAGCTGAAATTAGTAGCAACTTGCCCCTGTACATCATACTTTTCCTTTCACAATAGAGTTGTGCCAGTCATCAAACACCTTTCAGGGAAAAATTTTTTAATTGAAATAATACAACTTCCAGTTTGCATCAGAAGTTCTTATATAGTTAATTAGGGCTTCCTTCCCCTAAGGTTTCCATATCTGGTCTCGTCTTTCATCTATCTAATTCCATTCTCGAGATTAAGGAAAGACAGATGACAATGGGAATTTATAGGTCTACAATTTTTCGAAATTGCAGCCCAAAAAGACATCTTTACCATGTCTATTATTTTGAAGCATCTTTGTCTTCTATAACAGTGGTTTTCAAAGTTACTGATCTATAAACCACTTAAACTGAATAACAGATGAACTGCAGACCACCTACATTCTGTTTACTTCTTATCCTGTAATATCTATCACCTTATTTAATGAAAGATTTCATGCCAAAACAATTCATTTATCTGGTAACCTAAAAGATGTGTTGCATAAAAATGTTTTCTCCAACTAAACAGCTTGGATTTGCAAATCCATTAGTTGGAGAAAACATTTTTCCTGTGCAATGTTATTCCTGTGGATGATCTGGCACATGCTTCCAGAAAATAGTGCTCAAGGACCATACTTTTTGTGAATCACTGTTTTATAATATAGCACACAGTAGATTGTTTCAACTTTTCCAACATAGTTAAAATTACTGTATCTTATAATTAAATATTCAAATAATTACAGTTGTTTAAACCATTAAATTCTTAAATATTTCAGTTTATATGTTGAAAGTAAAATCATTGACCAAAAAGGTCTCATAAAATGTGCATTTGTTCTCAGTAAAAATGAGTGTCATCAGAAAGTAAACATTGGGTGCAAATTACACTTCAGTCAAACAGATTAAAATAATACATGAAACAAAACATCAGGACAAATTATTTTTTCACCTATTCCACTTCACATATTCAAGCACTTGTCATAATATGGTACATACCATGCTTTGTATGCTGTGGAAGAATGTGGGATTTTGCAATCAGAACCATTTTCTCACAGCAGCTTGTACTTCTACATCACTTTAGAATCTACAACCAACAAGATGGAGCCCCTTTCAAGACCTCTAGATGCCTCACTATTTTCAACAGCTGTTACTATGCATCAACAATGTGTAGACCCATAACAGAACAACTCCTTTGCTTAGAATGTATGGGTTCTGATTGAAGAGAAAGAGATAGTAGATACACTGATTCAATATTTAAGATCAACATTATAGGAAACTGTAAAGATTGATATTAACAGCCATTGCAGCAAGCTGGGTAAAATAGCAACAGGCTTGACAATATTATGTTACTGGAGAGTATCATTGCACCTAAAGTAATAATATAATTAATATGTAAAATAGCAACAGGCTTGACAATATTATGTTACTGGAGAGTATCATTGCACCTAAAGTAATAATATAATTAATATGTAAAATAGCAACAGGCTTGACAATATTATGTTACTGGAGAGTATCATTGCACCTAAAGTAATAATATAATTAATATGTGTTGCAGTGAATATTTTGATCAAATTGACAAGATAACCGCTCAATTTAACAAGCAATTATTTTTGCAGAAACATTTTTATGCATTTAGCAGAAGCAATATTTAGAAAATAAATTTTTTAGTAAAGACAAAAGTATAGGAAAAAGTTTAAAAAAAAGCAGCATAATCAACATTCATTCATTAAATACGGATAAATATGATGTAATTGTCACAATCTTATCTACAAGTATACAAGATATCACTTATTCTACAGAACAATAATTTCAGCAGAACTTTTGTGAGGTTACAGAAAAGTATTTTGTAGAATGAGTGACATCTTGCTTCACAAGGACATATCCTCAAACAAGAATGAATCCAAATGTTTGGGAAATCCTGCACACAACAAAATTACACTAGATTTATCAGAAATAGTGTAGTTTTACAACAGTTTGGTGCCATTACTATAGTGTACAGAAAAGTATGAAATGACACCAAACTGTATACTATTCAAGCAAAATACAGTCGACCCCCCTATAACACGATTGATTATTCCCTTTTATATGAATTCTATGTTGTACGAGTCACTTAGATTTTACAAATACGTGTGCCGGGCTGTGAACGGGCACATATTTGTAAAATCTAAGTGACTCATACAACATGGAATTCACATAAAATGAAATTATCAACAGTGTTATAGGGGGGTCGGCTGTAAATGTAGCTTGAGCGTAAATTTACAAAATCTCAAACTGTCATATTCATAACCTATTGACTAATTTTTAATGAACCTTTTTCAATCAACCCATGAGGTTCTAAATTGACCTCTTGATGAAGACCCTTAGTTTGTATAGTCTATTTTTAAATAATTACTTTGTTAAATGTAATGCAATATTTTCAAAATAGCAAACAGTAATTTAACATATTTAGCATTTTTGTGAACGTAACTATTAAAAATAATTAGTACTATAAATTTAATGTTGATCCAGTCCTGATATAATAAATTCTACACTAGATTGAGAAACTCATTTTTATGTCTCATGATGTTTAATAATTGTCTACCATTTAAAAAAATTAAATTCATAATTAATCCTAAGGAACAAAACAAAGACAAGTTTCTTTTATGGGAGTCAAGATATTTTAATATTTTTTGAGTCAAACATTGTATTTTGAAAATTCAAAAAAAATTAAGATAACATTTGACTCATAAAAGATGGCTCAGTTGTTTCTTAGAATTCACTATTATATCAATGTAAATTTATAGGTGAATTATGTTAAAATGTATTAAAGACTACGTATACTAAATGGTTACGATAATACACATACTTTTAAGTTTTATTTAAATATCAATATACACTTTTGATTGATTCATTAAAGACAAACATCCAAAGGCATTAAAACTAGTTTCTCAACATTTGATCCTCTAAACCAATCCATTCGTGTTCAAATTTAAGACAAAAATTAGACAACGAATTGTGTTTGTACTAGAAAAAAAAAAAAACATTTCCTTTAATTATTCTCTGTAATATTCTGATAAATTTTCAAGCTTACAAGAATTTTGTAGAATTAAACATGCAATTTCTTCCCAACCCATAACTATAAATAAGATAAATGACAGGTACGACGATTGTAGGACCGCTCGTTGACCAATGCAAGAATTTAAAAAACAGCATAATGGTTTGAAAGAAAAATAATTGCAATACACATAAATATACTTAAAAACATGTCTAAGAAAATGCATATTTTACAAGCAGTTACAGGCAACCCGAACCATCGTCCACACAGAGACGGTTACGTATCGTTTGCCGTTACACATCTGTCCATAGCCGAAACAAACTTTAAGATAAATACAAAATTTACACTGATATCTTGGTGAATGTACATTTTTATTTCAATTGCACAACACAAATCAATACTACTACAAAATACTGCATCAAGTATTGTAGTTATATCAACAACAGATTACGTAATTTAAAATAAACTTAGAATGGTAGTGAAATTCAGACACAAAATCAATAAAAAATAATTAACTTTCACAACAAAGAAAGGTGATAAATTAAAAATACTCTACTCCACATAAATGATTTAAAACCTGCCAAAATGAACCGATATCGGAAAGTAAATGCCGTCAATCCAATTATCAAGTTGCTTTTTTCTTAATTTTTTGATGTTCTTACTGACGGCAAAGAAGAAACGTTTTATTTACACAGCATCCTACTAACACGTTCACACAAGGAATTTAGAAACAATTTAAAAATTAAATACTAATGGCATCGGAAGGTTCGACAAGTACACTATTACAGTCAATATGCACAGATCCAGCAGCACATGTGACATTTTAAAGCACTAACTGCATTTTATAATTGATAATTTTTTATATATATCCAACATGCAATGAAATTTTGTTTCCCACAAATAATATAACAATTAAAAATTTTTTAATATTTTTTTTTTCATTTTTAGATATTTTAAGATATTAAAAACAATTTCAATTCCATGTCAAAATGAATTAATAATGGAATCCAATCACATGTTACATATGTACATCATCCAAACATGACTAAATTGAGATTCTGTGTACATTTCATTTTGTAATAAAAATTTGTTCACCGATACAAAATATTTTGATGTAAAAAAAGCAAATAAACATCAGCTTTGAGCTTAATAAGTTAAATTTTCTTTCTTTGGAACATAATTTTTTTGTTTCTTTTCCATTTTTTTTTTTTTTGCATAAAAAGAAATTTTGATCTTAAAACAACAGTTTGTCATTTTGAATTTAGACTTAAATTATAACCACTAAAACAATAATAGTCAGTCACAAAACAATCAAAAATAACCATTTCTTGTCCCTAATTTCACTGAGAGTTCTTGATGTTTCTCTACTGGTGTCGTACATATTCTCCGATTCTCATTGTTTATTCATCAGTATCATCGGAATCATCGTCGTCACTGAGATATCGCTTATTCGAACGTCCCTTTCTCTTCCTTGCTCTGTCCTTCCGCGACGAACCTTCTGCTACTTTATTAAGGCGAATTTTCATTCTCATTCCTTGGCTCTCTTCATCGTCGTCATCGTCGTCGTCATCGTCCACACCATCATCATCCAGTCCATCTTCTCTATCATCGTCGCCATTGTCTGCATCACTGTCGTCATCTGCACCAGTTATGGCTAATTCCCCGTCCTTTTCCAATCGTTCTCTTGCATTCGTAAATACTGATTGTAAAACAATGGAATCTTCATATATTAGCGAACCTTCCACATTGTAAGTTTGTGCATTTTTACACAGAAGCATAAAATCACTTTCTAAGTCATCTAAATTGCGATAACGATGTTCTGCAATACGCTGTTCTATTTTACGTAAATCTACTGGTTTTTTAATTACTTCATAATAATCAGGAAGTTCTCTTCTAGAAGGTAATTGCAAGAAAGCACCACTTAAAACCCTACTATCACTATCTTTATAATTAATAACTATGTCTAGAAGCCTTTTCATTTGTTTTGTTAATTTAGGTGGATTTGGAGTTAACTTTTCTAAAGGAGGTCTACCACGTTTTTTTTTTTGCTTAGGCTCCTCTATTTCAATTTCTCTTTTGCGTTTTCTACCCTGCCCTCGTCGAAGCCTCTTTTTTGTCTCTAATTCCTCAAGATTCCCCTCTTCAATGGCTTTTAACCACTGTTTTTCTGTCAAATTGTCACAATAATCTACCTCTTTTCTCTGGCGAGAACCACGACCAAATAATTTATCTTCTTCTTCCTCATTGGTTAATCTTTCAACTTCCGCATCGTCCTTCACCAACCAGCACGGAAGTTCGTCCTCTTCCATAAGACGAGGTTTACGTTTTGGATTACGAGCTTCTTCTCTTCTTCGATCCAAATCCATTTTCTGAAATAGTTCAAATTCATCTTCATTTCTTGCTATCATTTGATTGATTGTTTCGTCATCGGGAACTTCATTTTCTTCCTCTTCGTCAATCTCATCCTGTGCCAAAATGGCTTGCAAAAATTGACGTCTTTCTGTACCAGTAGACTTCTGGTCAAACATCCCGGCCTGAATTACTTTTTCATCTAAGTTTAGTTTATATTTAGCTGCAGCAAGAATTCTTTCTTCTACAGAGTTTACTGTGACCAAACGAAGAACGCGTACTTCATTTTGCTGACCGATACGGTGGGCTCTGTCTTGAGCTTGTAAATCTTGATGGGGATTCCAGTCAGAATCAAAAATCACAACGGTATCAGCTGCCTGTAAATTTAATCCAAGACCACCGGCTCTAGTACTAAGTAAAAATAGAAAGTATTGAGAATTCGGATCATTGAAAAGTTCTAACAAATGTCCTCGATCGTCCGATTTAGTCGTACCATCAAGTCTCAAATAACTGAAACCCCTATAGCTAAGATAATCTTCCATTATGGTCATGAGCGAAGTCATCTGACAAAACAGCAGTATGCGATGTCCAGTATGACGTAATTTTGGCAGAATGCGATCCAATAGCTCAAATTTTCCAGATGCTCGATACAAATCTGCACCTTGTACAATTCCACTCGAGCATCCCAAATGTTCTGCAAATGCTTCCTCAATGTGCTGGAACATAAATGGATGATTACATATTTTTCTAAGTTGCATTATGGTGTTCATTAACGTTTTAGTTCCACCTTTTCCTTTTTTATCTTTTTCGGATCCATCAGTAAGCAAGACACCTTTCGTTTGCATGTGTCTGTATAATAAACGCTGAAGAGCAGACATGTCACATTTTACAACATATTCTACCTTCTCTGGGAGTTGCGATTCAACTTCTTTTTTCAAGCGACGTAATAGGAAAGGACGAAGGACTTTATGCAAACGGCGAATAATGAGAATGGTTTCTTCTTCATTTAATTCTACCTTTTCTCCGGTAGTTGCAAATGGGGCATTAAACCATTGTTCGAAAGTATTACAGCATTTGAAAATGCTTGGTAACAGAAAATTTAAAAGGGCCCATAATTCAGGAAGTTTATTTTGTAGAGGTGTTCCTGTCAAAAGTAAACGATGGGGAGCAGTATAGTGGGTATTAAGAACTTGCGTTAGTTTGCAATGATGATTTTTCATTCGATGTCCTTCGTCTATAACCATATACTTCCAACGTATTTTTGCCAAGATGGCCTTGTCTTTGATTACATATTCATACGTTGTGAGTAAAACATTAAATTTACTACTTTTCAACTGTTGAGAAATTTGTCGCCGGACGTTTGGTGAACCTTTATAAGCTACTTTTATCACAGTTGGAGCCCAACGATCAAATTCTAGCATCCAATTTGATAGTGTGGATAATGGAACTATAATTAAATAAGGTCCGTTGACTCTCTTTTTCTCCATTAAATATGCAATCAAAGCAATTGTTTGTATGGTTTTGCCTAATCCCATTTCGTCTGCTAATATTCCATTTAAATTATTATTATAAAGCGAGACCAGCCACTCCAAACCTTTGATTTGATATTCTTTCAGCTTACCATTAATCAAAAGGGAGGACTGTTCTTTAACTTCTTCTCTAATAGCATGAGCAATGTTATAATAATTTTGATAGCCTCCAAATATTTTATATTCATCATCTTCTGCTTGTGCTGCATGTATAACATCTTTGGCTTTGTCTTCTTCAGATTTATTATTGGTTGCATTAGTTGCCTTTGGTTTTGTGCTTTCGTCTTCTTCTTCAGAATCCGAAGTATCGTCATCATCATCATCTTCATCATCATCGCTGGCTTCGCGAGGTGCAACTTCATAACCAGGATGCATTTCTAACCAAGCTTCAAGCTGACTAGCTAATGGAGCATTAGTTCCTGTGAGCATTTTTCCAGTTGCTGTTTCAATAACATTAATATGTAAATCGCTTTGTTGTGAACTTTCATCTATGAGACCTTCTTGTACTTCTCCATTTTCTCCCGCTCCTTCTTTCTGCTGCATTTTCTTTTTCTTCTTTTTCTGTTTTCTCTTCTCTTTTAATTTCTGTTTTTGATCAGCTTTATGTTGTCTCACCATTTCAGTCAGATTTTTTATATATTCATCTGTTTGTGATAACAAAAATGCTAATCTCTTATCTTTCTTTTGATCAATAAGTTTTCTGTATCCTTCTTCATCTTCAGCCATCAAACGTCTCATACGTTCTTTTTCTATTCTCTCTTGTTCCTTCTTTTGTTCTCTTTCAGTGTTGGCGTGATAAGTTACTATAGCTTTGTTCACTTTTCCAATCTTAGCTAAGATGGTTCGATGATATTCTTTGAAATCTTTACCATGCTGAAGGACTGCATTAAGATATTCTTGATGTTTCTGTCGCCGTTTTCTTTCTTGTTCTAGTTTTTGTTGTTTTTCGAGCTTTTCAGTGATTCGAGCTTCTCGAAGACCTTGGCGCTTCGAACGCTTGTAGAGTTTTGGATTGAGTGCCGTTTCTAATGTCGTATCTCTTCTCATGCACGACACTACCTCACACCTCAACTGGCGTTGAAAGTTTAATAATCGTAAAGCCCTCAGTTCAATCATGGCTTTGACTCTTAAGTCGTCAGGTAAATTAGCAGGCAGGTTGGAAAGTTCTTCAATTCTATGAACAATGCGAGCAGCTAATCTATTTTCCTTTTCTTTTAAAATTTCTAAAGGATCGATGCCTTGAGGTTTAGCTACTGGAGTAATTCGATTTTGTTTCTGCTGCTGCATTTGCATCATTGCGGGAATGGGCATCGGCTGTCCTCCCGAACCCACCTGCTGCATGCGACCCTGTATATTGCCACTCTGAACAGATCCAGGAGGTTGAGTGTTGCTATTCATTTGATTCGGATGTGTAACCATTGGTGAATGTTGATTTGGAATGTTACTATGAGATGTTTGACCACTCATTTGAGAAGGTATTTGTATTGTAGAATTAACATGACCATGTACAGGCATTGGTGTCTGCCCAGGTATCATCTGCTGTCCCATCATCGTGTTTCCGTGCTGTTGCGACGTCTGATTCATAGGAGTGGAAGGCCTAACAGTCGGCTGAACGGGCGAAGGTGCACCGGGCGGTCGCTGGAAAGATTGATTCGGTAGCATCCGTTTACCCTGTAAAGCCAAATTTACATTTTCGGGAATCGCTTGGTTCCGAGCCAAATATCTATAAGCCATAATCTGGGCACGTAGTTGGTGCATCTGTGCCGTGGACAAAAGCATCGGCTTCTGCATACCAGGAGATCCAGACTGGGCCAAAACCGATCCAGGCAGAGCACCCAGGGCACTATCGGGCAAAGGAGAACCCTGAGGTCCGTTGATCTGCGCATATCCCGAATGAGGATGATGATTCTGTTCCATCTCTCCCATGGATTGCGTGGGAACGTTGGACGCCACGTGATTGGGCGTCCCGGGAGGAGGTTGCTGGTGGTAGGGGGCCGCGCCGCCGTAAGACTGCTGGTGCATCTGGCCTCCGAGATGCGTCTGGCCCATCATCATGTTAGAGTGCTGCGTCGGCGGCATGTAACTCATGGAAGAATTGGAAGGCGAAGGAGGAGGAATCATGTGAGAAGGTGGATACGGCTGACCGGGAGACACCTGGGACTGGCTCTGCGCATGGGGAGAGGCAGAGGGCTGAGGATGGTTCTGAGCTGCCAGGTTATTCTGCACAACCTGATTGGAATGAATTCCACCCTGCTGATTCTGTGGAGGGGGAGGAGGACCCATACTAGGGCTAGGAGTACCGGAATTCGACTGAGGGGGGCCCATATTGGGGCTATGACTACCACCTCCGGGTGGAGTCGGCACTCCGGGACTCGTTACTGCCTTATTACGATTAGCCATAGCCATTAACTGAACGTAACGAGGATCCTCGGAAATACCCTTTTCTTCCATCGTGCTGATAGCTTTCTGCAGCATATGCAAATTATCGGGAGGAAAACCCGTTTGTTGTGGTGGCTGCGAAAGACCCAAACCCCCAGAAGCCGGACGAACAATGGTTTCGTCCGTAGACGCCATGATGTTGAGTATTATATATAAAACGGCTTCTGTTTAAAATAACTGATTAAAAGATAACTAATTTTGTGTTAATGGTTACATAACATCAAAACGTTCACCTTAACGATCTTTGTTTACATTTCTTTTCTGTTTATTATGTTCCTTTCGTATTCCAAACGAATGCTGCAGCAGGATGTAATTCCACACATACTCACTCGCGCTTTGCCAAGTCGCCGTTGGGTGGAGCTCTTCGAATCCCCCGTCGCCGGGACGATATTTTCGGATCGATACACGTCTGCAATTATAAAGAATTGCAACGACTATCGTCTCGAAAAAAAACAAAATTACATAAATTTCTCAACGCGATTCAAATTTTCCGAAATTCTTTAACCCAGTGTAAATGTCTGATTCGATTTTTATAATTTAATCAATGTAAACTTTGAATATATAAACTACTAGACGCCATATTTTTTTGTGTAAACGTAGCCACACAAAAAAATTTATTTTATATAAATACGCATAAGTTAAAATAAACCGTCATTTAAATATATTTAAATACTTTTTATGTATAAAAATATAATATTATAAGTAATTCGATTCGTTAAATTATCTTTGGTGAAAAAAGACGTAATAAGGTATTCCGAAATTTGAGATAATGTTTATAAAAAATTATAGATAAATTATTTATTATTTCTAAGATATTTATAACATTTAAATTGTAAAAAATCGCTTCCGTGACAATTATATATAATATATTAACACTTATATATTTATTAAATTATCACATAAAGACTATCGTAATGGCGGATATTGTAGAGAATATTTTAATCGATTCAAATTAAATACAGTCGACCCCCTATAACACTGTTGATAATTCCGTTTTATATGAAATTCATGTTGTACGAGTCACTTATATTTTACAAATACGTAAGCCGTTCACAGCCTGGCACACGTATTTGTAAAATCTAAGTGACTCGTACAACATGGAATTCATATAAAACGGAATTATCAACAGTGTTATAGGGGGTCGACTGTACAAATTTCTAACGGAAATATGAAATTGTTCTTTATTTTCTTACGGTAATAAATTACATTTATAAAACCAATTTAATCAGTTACGTTTAATAGAAAAAATAAAACTCCTAATTAATTTTTTAATTATGAAACAACCCACTAAAGATATTGCTGACCTATAAAATTTTTGTCTTAATGAGTGGACCTAATCCTAAATTATTTCAGTTAATATATATGCGCCCGAGTGCTTGTCTGCCCGATATATAAGCTCAAAAACCGCGGCCCCCTTCTCTTTTTGGTCCTGTTCTGTAAATATAATAATACATAATGAATAAACGCATAATGTTAACATATTTTACATTTGTACTGTTCTATTTCCTTTCTCACACACAGATCAGTACATATCGTGAATGAGGATGCTGATTCTCTTCCATCTCTCTCATAAGTGGCCGAGGCCACGTAATTGGGCATCCCGGCCATCTTATTACGAAACTTTGGAAAGTCCAAAAATGAGTTTTTTTATATCTATATATGTGACTTTATTTTGCATTTTGTGAAAGACCTAATTTACACATTTTTCCTCCTCGAGAAATGCCAAACTTGAAAAACGATGGTTGCAGAAGTAGAAACCATTGATGCCAATACGCTCGAACGCGAGTGGAAAGAATTTAAATAGAACAGAGAAACGAAGCACTTTCACACTAAACAATTCGGAGTTTGCCAGGTAAAGTTTGACAGTATTTTCTCACAAGGTACGGTGTATGAGATCGCCATTAATCTTCCAGAAGAGGGTTCAGGATAGGTTCCAGTTATACGAGTAGCAACAACAATGTGCTGGAAGTGTCACCTGCCATGAACGTTTTTAGTCAATAGTCTCATTGAAGGAGTTTGTACCACGTACCACTATTTTCAACATATTCGTGTCGATACTTTTATAACCCGAGACCAGTTTGGCTTTGTTAAGCCATGTTTCTTCTGTCTTTCCTTTCTCTTCATTACTTGTGACTACGTCTTATGGAAAAACCCCACTTCCGGCCTTTGTTTACTTATCCACGATGAGGTTGGTTAAACCATGTGGTCCAATCCGTGTTAGACAATAGGGGCTGATTGGTCGAGGGGGGTGACGGACAAGGTGGACAAAAAGGAAGTCCGAACAGGAAGAGAATCAGTTGAGGACGAGACAGTGTGGAGCGAGGACACGTTTGGACCAGGTAGGAAGGAAGGAAGTCGTCACGTGGAGGATCTAAGGTTTTTTTTGTTTTGACCAGTCACCCCTTTATTCTCCATTCTTTATGATTTTTCGTTTTCCATCTTTCTCTAAAATTTTGGGCCCTAGGTTTAAAGTAATTAGTTAAGTTAGATTTAAACTAGACTAAGATTCTATTGTCGGTTGAACGTGGGATCCACGTGGTGTGTCGGGACGAGAGTTCGGACCTAGTATTGTACAACCTAGTTTTAAGTATAGGTATTTGCCTATTTAGAGTCTGGAATTTTTTTTGTTAATAAATTATATCAAAGCCGAATTATCCTTTGGGAGTCAATTATTTATCGTTCGGCTACACCAGGAACCATGGTCATTAGAGATCTACAAAGAATCAGTCGAAGAATAGCTGTTTTTTTAAAATCAAATGACAAATTTGTTTTATGTTTATTTAAATGTCTTATTAATTACTATATGCGTTTTTATTTCAAATTATTATTTGTAATTTATTCCTATCCTGTATTAATATAGAAAGGAATCCTTCAGCAACACCGATTGGCAACTATTGATTTTAAACAGTTACCAATCGTTGTTGCTCGTAGATTCCTTTCTATTGCACCAATGTAAATTTGACGGCATTCAACAGTTAACTGAAGTTAACACGAACAATAACAAGAATAAATAAATCATTTTTATTTGAATAAAGTGTCCAGAAAAGAAGAAGAGTCATGCGACAGAACAGAAATATGTCAAATATCTCAACTCGGCTCCGTCTTATTAACAGAATTTCCAGAAGAAATAATTTGTTACATATCTGAATACCTGAGAAATGTAGAATTACATGTACGCAGAAAAGTATGTACACGATGGGAAGATATTGCTGTAGTTTTGCTGACGATCGGGACGGGTTTGCGTTAACTGATTCATAAAAACCACTCCTCTTTGTTTCATAATAATAACTGTTATTGTTAAACTATTACTCATTAGATAATTATTTTGTTGATCATATTATTTTTATGTAATTCTTGAAAACGGTAAACATTCAATATCGCTTTAAATTAATAATTTGAAATTTAACGAATCATTAACCATTTTGAAAAGTATTACGTATTGAAATATACTCTTCGGTTTATGGTTTATTTTTTTGGCCTCAAATCAAAATAGATTATACAATTATTGAAATTTATTGTCTTAAATCATGAAATTTTCAGCGTTTTGTACCTTTAGTTAACTTCAGATATGGAAAATCTGATTATAAGACCGTAAGAGAAAATTTTGAGATGGTAAAGCGTATCAAACCGAGAATAAGAAATGCTTTGTACAGTTGTACATGCGATCTAATAATTCGAGTTTTAGTAGAAACTTTCCCTTTTGTCACCTACGTTATTTTTAATTTTTTCCCCCTCATTTTTATCAGTTTATTCACTTGAAAACTATCATTTTCATGATGACAACGAGAAGATTTCTTATGACTCGTGTATAGCTTTACTGGTTTTCGTGTGGTTGGAATGAAAACAATGTACTAAAACAATTAATTACTTCTGTTGGAAGTTATATTCGAGTAATCGCAGTATTCTCCAGTATTGCGCACGTTTGTACTCAACAAGAAAACTAGTTGTTAACTGGAAGTGTAAAGTATGAAGGACCTGAAAAATATCTTTGGGCAACGTCAGAAATGAGAATGATGGATCTTATACAGTACTTGATATAGGAAGAGATATGATACTTCTAATACGCCATTTTCGTGTCTTTACAGGGAAAAGTTCATTTCTGTGCCAATATTTACGAAAATTCTCTAAACAGTAGAGTTGCCAGATGTCACGTTTTTTGTCCTACTGTTATCTAGTGATAGGAGAACGTTATTCTAAATACTATTCCTACAGTGAAGTATCTTTTTCACGTTTTTAATGTATTTCTGTCTCTAGCAAAGTAAAAATATACATATATCGATACAATGCAACACGACGGTCCATATTCATGAATGTCATCCGCAGCATGCCACTGTCGATGGCAGCACTTCAAGTTGGGTGTTTTATTTCAGTTGGCCGATAGTCGTGGGTTTATTTGCATAAATCTTGCCTTTCAAATGTCCTCATAAAAAGACATCTGGTGATTGCGATGGCCATAAATCTTTGAGACGACCCATTCTCCGAAAAACGATTAATTCTCCATACTGGCATCTGAAGTATGGCTATCCTTGCTCCTCTGTGGCAAGCAATCAATTCTGCATAAATTAGTGAACATTTTGATCATATTTTGTGTTGTTACATGCACGTGTTGCAGAGTTAAAAGTTTTTATACCATTTTTAACATAATTTTATACTTTGTTTACAAATTTTATTACTTACCTTGTACTCTTAATTCTAATGTTATTCATATGCTAATCAAATGTCCCTTTCATCTGACATAGACTTTTCCAGCTTAGGCTGACTCATGACTATTCTTTCGCTGCGCGGATAACATTAAAACAAGAATATAGAGTTTATATAATGGTTTGGTTTGATGGAATAACGCAATGCAATACATGGGCGATTTAGGAAGGTCTGCTTCCCGGTAGGTCATTATATGAGAAACTGTCCTCTATTTAAGAGTTAGACATGTGATGAAATTGTGAGTTAGCCTGGGGTACAATTCTTATAATTAATGTACCACTTAATCGGCACAGATTAAATGAAATCTATTCTCGGAGTTTCGGATCGAGAGATCTAATCTTTTAGACAGGGCGTTTTAAAAAGGATCCAAATCTCGTGATTCGGATCTCAGTCAGGATGATGACACCAGTTAATCAGATTTATATTACGCGAATTAACACGCGTATTGATTCGTGAAGGAGATAATGAAATATGTTTGATTCAGATAACGTAAGAGACATTTCTTTAACAATAAAACAAATATTTAATGGAACAAAAATAAACAAGATTATACAACTTTGAATCTTGGAATAAAGCTATTTCGAGAGAGAGAGCTCACAATTTCTATCAAAAATCATACTACCTCAGACATTTCTTCATTCGTCTTCTTGTATTTTTGGTTCTGGAGGAATGTTCTTTTTCTCTTTATCAATTCTTCATTAGCACATTATTAAACATTTTCTTCTCTATTTTTACCGACTTTTTAACTCATTTAATAGAACTTCGGGAATCGGTTATGGGCGTTGGCCGTCGAGAGATGATGTGGAATACATCCGTCCATCTTCGGATCTTTCGGCGTACTCCTCGAATGATGCTAGATTCTTTTTCTCACGAAATATCACCAATCAGCATCTCCTGTTTTTCCACGTGAACAGGAAAAAGGGGATTTACCGAGGGGTTGACAGTTCCCAGGGTGACTAAAATTATTAGGAGATAAGGGAAAACAAAAAGGATGTTCAACTTCCGTTGAAGGAAGTGACCTTTAAAAGTTTCCTTCGTTTTAGAAAATATAATTTTCCCATCAAAATCAATGAATATTTTCGTCTAAAATTTTACTTTTTCGATTAAAATTTTAATTAATCACGGGGATGGTTCGCATTTCACAAAATCACTGAAAATTCCATGTTGCCGACGTTTCGTGAAGGAGTGAACAAGCGACTAACTATTAGTGTTCAATGATTTTACTGATGAGCAAATACAGGATGCCCAGTTCTGTTTTGAATGACCACGCTTTTGTGTGTGTGTATATGTATTTGTGTGCAGACGCGGATTTTTAGTGAGTACATAGAGTGTAGGGCGCACCTCCCTTTTGGGGGTTTTTCCCGATAAAGCAAGTACCTCAAGTAATGAAAAGTTTTATAAGGCACATTGTTTCCTTTCTGCACCCCTTCTAAATATCTCTAGGACCTCTATTGTTTTTGTGTATATTAAGCTGTCAATTCTCGCTCTGCGGAGTCGGAAACGAACCCGAACGGATCGAAGAACACTGGGAATTTTTCGGGGAGGTTCGAATCTGATATATTGGGCCCCGTCTCTCACCATCCGGACGTCTATTTTTTGCCTAAAATCAAAAACGGCTTTCTTTCTTAGTGCCAACGAGATGGAAATAATAATAATAATAAACAAAATAAGGGATAACCGAAGCGGCCGTCTTCGATTCTAGGTTCAAGATTCAAGACTTTGGGAATTTTACTGCTTTAAACGTACTTTTTTTCACTCTTTTCGCCCTGTGGGCAGTAAGAGGGCCTCTTAAAGCAGGCCCATTATGGTTTCGGCCAGGCCCACAATGGGACGACTGGGTGGTGAGGGACAAGGCGGATGGATAGTGAGTTTCGAGATACGAGATATGAGTCGATTCATTCGCGAGAAATATTAGAGATTTTACATTTATTAAGCATTTTTGGAAAATTTTAAACAATTCCATATAAACAATAAACATCTCAAATTATGTTTAAATTTTATAATTTTGAAAATATTTTAATAATTTATTTTAAAGTTGCCATCTAAAAAATTTGAGCTGGCAACACTAATCCACCTTTACATTTACCAAACGATTTTTTAAATAATTAAAATATCATTCCTACATTATATTATTATTATTATAATTTACTAATGTTTTAATTTTAAAATATCCAGTAACTTAATAATAGTAAAAACCAAAATTTTAAATTACTGTTCACGTGATCGGCAACGACCTATGTTATCGTCAAACGAATAATGGCGGTGTTATTCGAATATGTTTTGAAAATTCAGGTGGAATAAACTAAAATTTCGAAGTATAAAATACGATTTTAACTCGATTTTTAAATTATTTGTGTTTTAATTAGATTATTTAACCTTATAACTATCAGGTAATTGTGATTTACATTTGTTTTTATCATTAATTGATGAATTAGATTAAGGTAGAAGTGGCTTTTAGGTGTATGACACAAGCATATTGTATATTGACTTAAAAGTAACTTCTATTGAAATTTCTATTTTGTTTTTGCTTTTTTCCTCAAAATATATGTAGTTAAAATGGAATTTTAACTCAAATATACAGTACATTGAGGGTAAAATTGTAGTTCTGAATGGTGGTTTGGTTCCCCCCCTCAAATTTATGACCCCCTAGACTAAAGCCATTCAGAGCTGCATTTGTATTCTAATTGATTATATAATATTATAATTAACAGAAATCTGTTAATTTTTAATAGATATATAATTTATAAATGACAGTTTCTTTTAAACTGTTGGTTATTTTTATAGATTTAAGGATATTAGAATTGGATTATATTTACCTTAGGTAGCCAAAATGGCGGCTCGTTTCTGATTCCAGCAAACAAAAGAAAGGAAACAGTGGGGACGCACGTTCTAACCTAACCTATTGTAATAATTTGGTTGGTAATAAGTATGGTAATTTATTAGAATAGGTTAGGTTAGGTTAGGTTAGAACGTGCGTCCCCACTGTTTCCTTTCTTTTGTTTTGCTGGAATCAGAAACGAGCCGCCATTTTGGCTACCTAAGGTAAATTTAACCTAGAATTGATATAATTATATTGTGGTGCTTACAGCATAATTGTTTAATGTACCTGTACCGTTTGTTAATGGTTATTGTTAATGCTCAGATTTATATGTGACAAAAACCCATGAATTGCGAATGTAGTCGGTATTGCACTTAGTCAATATTAACTGTGCCTATTTTTGGGGAGATAGGGCAACAGCATGGGATAATACTCTCTGCATCAAAATTTTTCTCTACTGGCTTTTTAAACTTATTTTCAGGGGGAAAAAACTACCGAGACATTCCAGAAAACATCATCTGTTGAAGTAAAGGTATGAATGATACAAATTTGTAGATCATCCTCTGGCCCTCCCCTACTTTTTAATTTATCACCCAGGCTGCAGAGTTTGCTTTTGTTTACATGAATGTTCTTTTTGAGGAAAAATGACATTATATAACTAGGATTGTCAATGGTCGAATGGATAAAACCATTGAAAACTGATAGTTGGTTGTGGGTTTGCACTTCGTCAATGAGCTGGCCACGTAAAGTTTTCTGTGTTTTCTTCACATGAAGCCTTGGTCACAACTTGCAATTTCCAGCCATTCAGGCAACTGCAACCATGACAGCTGTTCTTATAAACTTGTAAAAGCCTTTTAAAAACTGGCATGCTTGCAACTGCAACTAGAAACAAAAAGTTTGTTCTACTTGTGCTGATTGCAAACATGCATCTGATCAGCAAATGCCTTTGTGCCACGTCATATGGTGGCAACATTGAAAATAACAAAGTGTCAATGAAAGACGTTCTTTGGGTGAAATGGAACTTTGGATGGAAAATGGAATGTTTCTTTGCGTGAAATGGAACAAAATAGCTAAAGAAGATACACATCTTCTTTATCTTCTTTAGCTATTTTGAGCTATTAGCTATTATCCTTCTTAAAATACTTTGGAAAGTATTCATATTCATATGGATATATCCTCAATAACCTTCGGCATTCAAAAGCTTAAATTTATTCATCAGCTGGTGGAAGCATGATTGTTTAGCCTATTGATTTTCATTTTGCTAAGGTTTAACTCAGCATAAATGTTTTCTCTTATTTTTCTCTTCATGTATTCTTGCCAGCTCTATCAAAATGATTGTCTTTTTTCTTTTATTCATTGCAGAAAAGGAACTGCTTGCTGTTTTAATAAGAAATTCTGCAAATACTCTGAAGTAGAATGTAAACTGATGAAAGTAGTAAAAAAAAAAAAAAGGCTTCTGTAATTTTATTGGTTTATTATAAGATCATGTGTTTCTGAGTTGCAATGCCAGCAAACAATGTGACCATGAGGACGTGCGCAACTCATGCTTGTTGCAGTTGTGGTTGCCTGCGCGGCTGGAAATTGCTAGGTGTGATCACTCTTTTAGTAACACCTAAATAGGGACCATTTCCCATAGATCTTCCAGGAGGCATTCCCTGGCAAAATTATACCTCTAAATGAGACGGTTTGGACTTTATCACCATACTCATAGCACCAAAAAAGTCAAAGAAATCATACTTATATGTATGACCCTTCATGAGATACAGCTTTTTCAGAGAGCTGTATCTGTATGTCTACTTATGGGTGACAGGCAATTGTGAGTTATGTTATTCTACTAAGAGTGTTGTGTTTAACTATTTAGCCCATATGACTATGCTGGCTTTGATTAGCCCACTTGATTGTCTGTGGATTACTTGATGTTATATAGTTTTAGGGGTTTTGGGGCTCACCCCACAGTGCTGAGTTGCAAACAATAGTAAACATGAATGCATATGACTACGTGTGGAGCATAATGCTCTATGCGATTGACACAGAGCATGGAGTACAGGCAGTATACTGATACACAAAAAAACTGACCTTTGGAGGCAAATATCTCATGAAGGGTCACATACATAAATATAGTAGTTCCTTTGACTTTTTTGCTTGTATGGAGGTGGGAAACCCCTCATTCAGAGTTCACATCTTATGTATTCCTTCTCAGAAGATCATCCATATGTTGCATTGCTATATTTAAATTAAACCATTTAATAACTGATAAAAGTTGTTCAGCATAAGTACTTTCATGTACAGCAAAATTCCACAGAACTATTCTGTTCCATTACCCTATCTTACCTAACCACATTTTGTATTGATCAAGTGCAATCTATCATTGTGCCAACTATGTTAGGATTGCCAACTTTCTTGCATAGACATTGTAAAGTGGACCAACTGTAAATTATGAAATATTCAATAGACAATAAATATGGTTTCAAACTCAATGTTAGAATTATTACCAAATTTGCACAATGCCAGTGTAATTGAGTTGCTAAATTTTATTTGATTGTCTAACTGATCAATAGTGATCAGTAGTGTCTTTCCTTTCTGTTACTTTAGTGAGTGATAAAGACAAAACTGTTACTTTAGATTCAATGACTCAAACTAGTTATATGTAAGTGCTACATGTAAAGACTAGATATTGTTTTGTGTGTAGTGCCTATTTCTTTAGAACAAGAAAATATTGTAATATCATTTGCCAGTATTATTTCAGAGATAATAAAAAAAAATTAAACAACAAACAATTGAAATTGTACTCAAAGGGAGAATGAGAGGATAATACAGCTTAATGGAGGACAGTTAGTGATTCTAAATCTCAAAATATGTAGAAAACAAAGCAAGACATATTTCAGAAAAGTAATTTTTTTTAATCTGTAGTCTGTAATGATTCATACATCCAGATAGGGTTGCCATATGTCCCATATTTTGCATCTCATTATGATTTTCCTTAGCACACAATATTACACTTAAAAACTTCAAAAATGACAGTGAGGCTTTGCTTTATGAAGTAGTTAGATTCTCAGCCTACTGTTTATAAATGGAATTATTTGTAAATTGAGACAAAATTGTAATACAGTAGAGCATCGATTATCCGACTCAATTGGGGACTGGGGTTGTCGGATAATTGAAAAGTCGGATAACCGAAAAGTATGAAAAAATTCATTATTAGTGTAGTATATTATTATATCCCATGTAATTAGTATATTAGTATATCGCTATTAACCTACTTCGTGTTGAATCTTCCTTCATGTTAAGCCTATCAAATTTTTTTAAAAATAATAATCGTCGCTATTGTATCGTTAAAAATTAGGAAATTAAGCCTCGTTTAAATACTGGCTCCCTTTCATGGTCAATCCATGAAAGGGAGCCATAATATTAAAATAGCCAAGACATAGCCAAATATTGTAGCGCCACATCACTAGTGGACATTTGAATTTGCCGACTAGAACACGGTCGGTTAACCGAGGTGACGGTTAATCGGGGGTCGGATAATCGATGCTCTACTGTATATTTAAATGAGATTATTTCCTTCAATTTGAAAATTGACATCATGTTTCATTAAATATGGATCATGCTTTGTCCACGATTACTGCATTTGATTACTGTTTGAGTTAATTGAATGTTCTTTTCATATCAATCTACAGCACTAATAGTTTTTCCATTTTTTTCTATTATGTTACTCTCTTAAATGTTTGCTTTAACAATTTCTGTGTAAGAATGCTTTATCATCTCTGAATTGGTTACTGTCGTTGAAATTGTAGAAGGTACCAACTTTAATGCTTTACAGACATCAGAATGATTCTCACCTAATTTAATGCTTCTAATTGCTTATATTTTTTCTTGATAGTAAGTGATTTTGTGCTTTTTTGGATGAAGAACAACTCAACCAATATTTCACTTTTTGAGCAATCCCTAGAATGAAGTTTGCAATGGACTAAAATGTAACAAAAAATTTTGAACATATGGCTTTACAGTGGTTGCTTATTGTTAAAACTCAAATAATTAAACTGAAACTCTGACCGATAATTTGAAAAATTTCCTATTTACAAGAACTATATAAATATAAATATAAACTGTTGTCTTTATTTATGAAATAAGATGATAATTGATAAAATCATGACTATTTTAATGTGAAATCTTTATTATGTATAAGTGTTTTCCCCATGAAAATGGCTAGATGGTTACAGTGGTTGGCCACTATTGCAAATTTTTTTATGAATGTCAGTTAAAGATAATACTGTATAATAATTTTAACTGATTGGAGGAAATGTTTAGATGGTGGTTCCCAAAATGGGTGCTACTGCCCCGTGGGTGGTGAAAAGAAGCAAATGGGTGGCAGGGTGTGCTAGAGGCAGGGTACTACCCGAACAGTGACTGTAGACAAGGATTGGAATCACTGACAACCTTCTTTCCTCTATTAAACAGATAAGAAGAAACATTATGTTTAATGATTTCCAGATATGGAGAACAATATATGGTAAGGACACAATGTGTGAGGTTCATAGAAAAGTTTTTTAAGAATATTTCTAAATCTTTCTCACACAAATAAAAATGGGTTAGAGGCATTGGGTAAAAGTTTATGGAACCAAGGTGTGGTGGCTGAAAAAAATTTGGAAATCACTGGTTTAGTTGGTCCATAAATAGGCTAAAAACTAACTTAAAGAGAACACTAGTATAACTATTGTCATGAAATTAATTCTAGTTTTATGTATGATATTTGTCTAAAATTATTTCTGAAAAATTTGTAACTCATATTCAGCCTTATTTGATGAAAAGTCAATAATATTTTTTATATTTTAGAATAGTTTTGCTCTTGTTATAATCTAACACTGAGTAGAAATATCAACCAAACTTATTTACCCAACTTGTGTCACATACAATTCTCTGCTCTTTTCGAGATTGAAAGTGAAAACATTTCACTCAAATCATTTTGGGCTCTCTGGTGTATCTTTCAGTTCTAAGTGTTGTGAATGGTTATTGAAGATCTGATTGCAACTGTATGTGAACATAAAGAGTTCTGGACAAAGCATTTGTGTGTCTTACCTGTGAACAATATAAAGATGGTTATGTAAGATAGCATATTACAGTATTATGTTGATTTGAAAAAATACTAATGTTTTATGCTTGATTTTTGTTGGAAGTGGGATTTGACCTAACATTGAAGTTAATAAAGTTTGTCTTGTTTATAAGATTAAAAACTTTTAATTAGTCTAATACGAGGTGTCCCGTATACACATACATTTGGCTGACTGAGATAATGAAACGTTACTGATATAAATTTCATAGGGAATGTTTAAATGGAAAAGTGTATGAGACCAATTTCAGAACTATATGTAAACTGAAGTAAAGCATTCACAGAAGCATTGAGGCTAATGAAATCGGTATTTTATGTAAAGTCATTTGGAACATGATTAAGCATATGTAAAGATGCACAGGGACATCATTTTCAGCATCTTCTGTGAAGCCAAATGAAAATTAAACTGGAACTAGTTAACTGCTGTTTTTTCCTGATGATGGGCTTAGTTGCCAAAAAGAACTTCAAAAAGGTGTTACTTGATACAAATTCAAATAGTGAGGAGGTCTATTAAAGCAGATTTTTTAGATTGGCATTTTATTTGTTGTTTAGAATAAAATAGAAATTTGCCGTGAGACTGATCACTATAAGAATATTCCTTGATTACCAGTTTCCAATTACTGTCTTAATAAAGTGACTGTGCTCTGTATTACTGTATTGTGACTTATGTGTATTCAGAATAAAAAGAATAGGAATTGTACTTTTCAAGTTTTCCTTGTATTAAGTGATGGATTTCAGATGTCATTCTTCAGTTGTTTTCTGATATTCCTTCAGTTGAACTGACTTGATTCTGCAGTCATCAATGATTTTAGAATATTTACTAACTTAAAATTATGCAATATAAGCCAAAATTTTTATATTTTAACTAAATGCCAGTAGAATAACTAGATGATAACGATGTGAATGTTATTCCTTTGTTAATCATAATTATATTATATGAATTATGTTGACAATTAGAAATCATTTTATCTAACTCTGCTTTAATTTTTACAGGATGTCTGATAATATACATGTAGCCATTCGTGTCAGGCCCTTGATTGCTCGGTAAGTATAAAAGAGCATTTTTTAGAAATCTTATTCATAAATTTTACACATCAAATTATTTTAAAGGAGAGATAACAACATAAAAAAACCCACATAAATTTAGTATTATGCTAATTAGAAAATAACATAACAAACAGAAAATATATTTATAGCCAGAATTGCTGGAAAATAACAAAAAAAAATATACTGTTGTTATAACCTGGTACATATATCATTGTTTGCAGTTGTGTGTGTGGGAAGCAACTATGTTGTAGAAGCACCTTCAGAAGGTGACATATTATGTCTCCTAGTACTGGATGTTGGGGACTAGACTCCTTTTATTATGTTATACCCCGTTCGCACACAATCCACGACTCACTTCGATCTCGATTTACCCACAATCTGGATTGTGACTGTCGCCAGTGGAACGTCGTGCTGTTCGCACAGGTAACTCGCTTGAGAAGAACCCGGCTATTACACGCGATGATAAAATTGACATAACTACGCGGTAAGTCACGAACACCAACAAACAAAATGGAAGTTTTGGTTAGAAATAAATACTTTTTCTTGCCGTATATCTAATAATAGACAGATGTCATCGTCTCTCCAGATGTCTTTTTTATTTTTCTGTCGATAGCCGGACACGTGTTCAGCAGCCATCTTGTATTTTCTCGCGCGCGTGGGATTGTGGGTTCTCTCTTATGACTGGATCTAGTTTCAAGAACTCTCTCCAGTCGATTGCGATAGAACCTCGTTTCAGTCGAGATTGAAACGATCGAGAGCGTTCGCACCAAGGAACTCTCTCCGACCTTAGTCACAATCTAAATCGAAATGCTCGGTGCGAACGGGGTATTAGGGAGAGTCTGACTCTAGCTTTGAGAATGCTAATGTAGTCAATTGTCTTTTCTATCTTTTTGTTGGGAGTTGTGATCCGATACAATGTTTGTGCACTCTTATTATATCACAATAAAAAATGTAATAAATTTTCTTTTTAATGCTGATAAAACACTTTTGGTTATAGTTTTTATGTATCAGCATATCTTTTACCATATTCTGATGATGTTGGATGTGTGGAAAATTAGAGAAAATAATTTCAAAGTTTGGACATTGGTTGATAATATACAATTTACTTTTGTAACAAAATAAAGAATGCATGGCACAAATGAATATGATATCACACAATGATGATATTTGATAAAGGTAAATTTAAATTTTTATTTAGTGTCTTCATATTTGAGCATGAAATTCTAATGCAAAGACCTGAAAGACAATAGTCATCGAGGTCAGCATTTTTATAATCATTTTAGCAAGGACTCTCCCTATATTGTTAAAAACTAATGAGATGGACAATGGTGTTGTATTTCATTTGTGTTGCACCACAAAATAACAGTGATGCATTTTTATTGTCATATTATATTAATGTATTTTAAGATAAGTTTAGCTAAAATTATTAACAGATATATGTGTAATATTGATAAATGGAGTGGGAAATTATATTAGTAGTACTGGAAAACAAGATGAATACATTGAAGTATTGGCTTCAAGTGATGGCTTTCAGTTATTGTCTATTAGAGCACTAGTAGTCTGGGACGCCCCCTGGTGGGCGTTATTTACAAATTTCAATGAGGCACAGTTCCTTTGACTTTTTTGTTCCTATCAATATGCTGTACAGCTCTGTTAAAGTCCCAATGGTAAGAATTACCCTCCAAATGAAGAGGTGGCGACCCCCAAACTGTAGCCCCTGTGCGAACAATAAAGTCAAAGGAACCATACCCCTACTCGCGACCCTTTGCGAGATATAAGCCCCTGAAATAATAAATTCCTATTACAAATATACTGAATTATTTATATTGTTATATTGACCAAATAATAATTTATGGGCCAAATGAATAATAATAATTTATATTGTTAATTTAAATAATAATTAAAATTGTTAATTTGAATGTTTGAAATATGACACATGATAGGGGCACCTCTAGTGTCCATTATCAAACGGTTACGCGGACAGACACCCATTGAATGGGTTATATATATAGATTTGCATTTTGTCAAATGCCACAAACACAACTACCCAAACTTATATTTACTCGTGTATTATATTATTAGATAGATGTAGAATGAAGTTTTCATACTGCTTTGTTTCGAAACTGTCTTAAAAGTTGAGAAGTACAATAGGCCTAATTGATATTTTTTTAGTTTGCTCTATTGCTACTTTGTGTGTGGTCTACTCTGAAAGATTCTAGACATGGAAAATGTATCTGTACAGAAACATCTGTTGTATATGTAATAAACATTTACATAAGATACGTCACCAGGGCCCGTTGAATGGGTTATATATATAGGCCTCTAGGGGCAGACAATCTGGACATTTGTCAGGGGCGGCATATCTAAAGGGTGGCATTTTGGTTGTGAATGTGACAAAATATTTATAAATTAAATACTTAATTAATCGAAATTTATATTTGTCGATTTTTTCTGTGACTAAAATTACCATGCAATTTACATTTCATATTTATTATTTTTGCCTAAAAGCTAAGAACATATTTGCATTCCTTAATTCTGAAGAAAACAACCATGAAAGAGGGCTTTTGGGCAAAAAGGAAAGCATAAGCAACAATGTTAAATTTTGTCTCAAACCTTAGTGTCACCTTAAGAATACTGCTGATCATACCAATAACTGTAGCTAGTGGGGGAAAGGTGTTTCTCTAAATAAAAATTAATTTAAAACTTTTTACGTTCCACTATCATGCAAAATCATCGTAATAGTTTAGCCATTTTGGCCATTGCACATGAAACTGCTGATCAAGTAAACTTAAAAGAATTAATAAAAAAGTTTGCAGAACTAAAAGTGAGAAAAAAGTTTTTGATTTTAGTATAGTTGATGTACTGTACTTTTGTTTAGTTTTTATAGGATATAAGTTTTTTGTTTGATTGTACAATAATACATTTTTGTAATATCATTAAAAATGCATGTAGTTAACAATTTGTAACTAGGTACAGGTATATTTTAATTTTTACTGTTTTGTACTTGATTCATAATTTCATATTACATGTTTCTCACTAAATAAATTTTAGGGGTGGCAATTTGTCTTTTTGTCCAGGGCGATATAAATGCTTGAGCGGGTGCTGACATCACTAGATGTCTGTTACCATTGTAAGGCTGCATTCATACTACAGGTATACCTCGACTTACGTCGTTTCGAGTTACGTCGTTCCCGATTATACGTCGTTTGTCAAAAAAGTATACGAAAAAATAAAAATCAAGTTTAAGTCATTTTATTCGACTTTACGTCTGTCTGCCACGAATATTGAAGTCGTAATATCACTAGAAAAACGTTTAAAGCACATAGAATCATATTAAACTATATACGAGTATGTTCTGTATTTACAGTATATGCATTCGTAAATTTAGAATACTTTTTTCTGTACTATATTAAAAACTAAAATTTATTTGTTTGTAAGCTTAAAATAGACTTTTATTAACCATATATTATTAAACATGCATTAATAAATAAAATACAGATTCATAGACAAGTAAATTCGACTTACGTCGTTTTCCTGGAACCAATTACCGACGTAAGGCGAGGTATACCTGTACTGACAACGACGACCACAGATCCTAATGATAACAAAGTCTTGCTTTTGTGTTTTAGTTCATTGCCAAAGCATTCATTAGTTTTTATCTTAGAGCATGCGCAATGTACTGTACAGTACATTAGGCTTAGCATTATTCTGTGGCTTTCTATACTTTTAGACTGGACTCTTCTGTTTTAAAATTGGATGTGAGGAGTAAAATGTGAATTCTTCAACTTCGACAGAGGAATTTATTACTTTTGTTAAGGAAAATATCAAAACGTTGATGGTAATCATAACCATTTATATTGAGAGAAAGATGAGGTGATTTGCATGCTTTGGTACAGAAATTAGGATTAAAAGATATCAAAGGAATTTTTAAATTATTTTTGTTTGTCACCAAATACTTTAGACCATTTATTAAGCTTTGTAGGGCCTCTTTCTTTGACACAAGAGATTAGCGGTTCCTCCGTCTTGTTCAAAAGAATTGTGGAAAATTCACATTGATTGGCCAATTCCATTATGACAATGAGAAATGTTGAATCTTGGCTAACTTTGGAACAACGAATGACTAAGAGAAAAGACCAACGATTACAACTAGTGTGGATGTTTCACAAAGACAAATGATTAAAACATGACTTTTGTTTTTTTTCATTAGCAGTGTAAATGCAACCTAAGTGTGCAAAATGGAAAATTTTGACTGCAAGAAACAGTGGACGTGACTTGTAAACATTTTCAGGCGATAATGTTTTGTGGTTTTAAATCTGGTTTGTCTGAGTCACCATGTCTCATGTATATGCAGGCAGCCTTTCAGCTTTTCCATCACAAACACAGGACTTTCTGGTGATGAAGAGAGAAGAAGTTTGAAATGGCCACCACTCTACTACAGTTACCTTGGAGAATGTGGTTTGTATAGGTCATTATCACAGAGGACCCAAGATAATGTAAAGTGAGATTGAGAGAACTTTACAAATTGGATCAATAGCAGTGTACAAAATTGTTCACACATACCTTTTCCTAAGGAAAATTTTTTATCTGTAGGTGAAGATGCTAGATGCCAAATTCTTTCACTAGGAGCAAAAGAGGAGATTTGTGTTTAATGGTGTTGCAACATGATTGAAAAATTTGCAAATGGGATGTCAAAATGTTTGTGGGATTATAATATCCCACAAATATTACTGGTGATGAAATATGTCTGTCAGTATGAGCCAGAAACAAAGCAACAATCCCAAGTTTGGTTTTTTTTCCAATGAGGAAATTTCTCTTAAGATGAAGTGCCCGAGGAGTGTTAGTCAGCAAATTTATGGTCATGTTATTGGAAAAATTGGACATATTTGCACCCTTTTACAAGTGGAAAGAAAAACTGTTGCCGCATTTTTGCAGAATGACCGGCTGGGGGCATGCCAGTTAAACTGCAACTAAAAACTAAAATTAATCCAACTTAACAAAACTAGTTGTTAATTAAATGTTAAAGAAAACATTCTTTTACATACTGTAAAATAATATTGTAATTTGACTTGCCTAAAATCATTTTTGTTTTTAATTACATATTTTATTAGTCAAATTACAGTATTTTCATTTACAGGACCATAAAACAATTAGTCTTGTTGACAGTAGTAGTAGTAGTAGTAGTAGTAGTAGTAGTAGTAGGTCAGTCAGTGTGGGCTACACTGACTATCTGCACTGACCTTAAAAATAACACCTTCCTCTCAATTTTTGCACAAAACAATCTTAATTGATGTCAGTTGTGATAATTTACAGCCAGTTTCTGAAATTTAATGTGTTTATTTTTGTTTTTGAATTAAATTAGAATAAAATAAACATAAAAAAAGCACTTTCGACATTCCACGACTGTTTTACATTGTTAGAAAGAAGACAAAAGATCAAAAATTATGGTATGTTTAATTTCACCATACCATAATTTTTGATGTAATGCTGACAGTTTCACAGTTTTAGAATAAAAACTTGTTCTTTTTTACCTGATGTAACTCATTCATTTTTTGTGCACTCTCTGGAGAGAGGGCTGTATAAATCTCACTTAAACTGGCATTCCGGTTTTTACAACACAGAAATATCTGATTTTTTTGGCCTCCCCAGATAGATTGACATACCAGACAATCTGCAAAAATACAGTTCGTACAAATTTTCATGTATCAAGAAACTTTCAGAGGACCCATTTATTATTACTACTCGAGGAATTTATGGATAGTTACAATATTACATACTATGTATTTTTGTATTCAATATTTTTCAAAGAAAGAAGTGCATTTTGTTTTCTACTAGATTGTATGAAATTGGTTTCTTCGGTAACGGCATAAAATTGTATAGATTCAGGGCTGTTGAGAATTTTTTTCCAGGCCTGGTCAAAACTTAGTTGGCCCATAGTTATTTCTACCTCTGTAAAATTAATATTATTTTTACTGACAGAAAATAGCTTTTAAGACTCTATTTTATTAATAATAATACATTTTACATATCAGGTCAGTCCATAAGTTCATGCCTATTTTATGACCTTGAGAAAAATCTTGTTTTGCTGTTAAAAATGCCAGTCTAATGTGATACTTTTTACACTGAAGTGTTAAATTGGATCTCATTCATATAATACTGTTCAGAATTGGGAACATTTCAGTTGTTTATTTTCGTTAAAATGGAAGTAACAGATGAATATAAGAGACATGTTTTATACTTTTTATTTTTAAGTGATGAGAATGCTACAAATGCAGCCAAAAAATTAAATACTGTTCATAATCAAACTGTAATTAGTGTAAGGACTGCGCAGAAGTGGTTTGAAAGATTTAGAAATAATGATTTTAGTGTGGAGGATAAGGCTCGTACTGGAAGACCCGTTGACTTTGATGATGATGCTCTCTCTGCACTAGTTGAAGCAGAACCATCTTTAACAGTTGATGAAATTGCGGAACGTTTAAATTCATCCCATGGAACTGTTCATAGACATCTACAACAAATCGGAAAAGTTTCAAAGCTAGGAAAATGGATACCACATGAACTGTCAATAGCTAACTGACAACAACGTCAACTGCTCAACTCCAAAGCTTCAACTGGGAAATTTTACCTCATCCACCATATTTGCCAGATATTGCTCCCAGTGATTATCATCTTTTTCGGAGTTTGCAGAATTTTTTAAAAGGAAAAACTTTTGAGGATGAGAACAATGTAAAAAAGGCTATTTCTGAATATTTTGATTCAAAACCGAAATCATTTTACAAAGACGGGATTAAAAAGCTACCATCAAGATGGCAAGAAATTGTACAAAATAATGGTGAATACATTATAGATTGAAATAAGATTTAATTAAAATTTTTTGTTGCTTTTTTTGTAGATAAAAATGTGCACGAACTTATGGACTGACCTGATATTTCATTTGTTTAAAAAAATGTAACAGAAGGGGTCTGGGATAAAGCAACCCCTATGCAAGTTCTTGGTGGTCCAATTTAAGTTTAAATTCTTGCTTGAGCAAGTTTTCCAAAGCAGTTAAATAAGTATTGGATAGCTTACTTAGAAAAGAGAAAATTTAAAAACCAATATTAATCTTATATAAATTATTACAGTAACTAATTAAATACTTTAAAATATTTTTTAGTCCTTGATTATGATTATTTACATTTACTTTAAATATTCTTCAGTGAGAAAAACAATAGATCAGAAATTTATTGGAAAGTGGAGAATAAAAATACGATCTCTCAGGTAGATAATACTGGAAAACTAGTGCCAAATTGTTCCTATACTTTTGGTGAGTAATGCTGCTTTTATGTTATCAATTAAAGTTTAATGTGAAGTGCAATTGATCGATCAGCATATTGATCACATTAAATTTCTAGAACAGTTGTTCTCAATTTTTTGAGACTGCAAAACACTATTCCTATATTCTATTACATGGAGCATTAGGATCAATATATTCAAACATTGATAAGCAATTCCAGGTTTACTATTCTCATGAAACAATAAAGCAATAAACTAATGAATTTTAGTGTATTGAATAAAATAGCATACATGGAATTTTTCGTGAATAAAGTAATATGTTGTAGTACATTGGAATAAATTTGCAATAAAAACTTTAAAATCTATTTTTGTGGAACACTTGGGGTAAGTCTGCAGAATATGGATTGAGAACAACTGTTCTAGAATAATGTCAAATATTTTAGTGATGATGAAAGTTGTTATAGGATTCTTGTCACAAAATTTATTGATTTATCTATGAAGTAATAAAATATTCTTAACAGTTTAATCGTAAAATACTTGACTTTATTATTATTATTGAGTGTAGAGGAAAGTTAAATTTGAACAAATTTATTTATTTGACTGTTTAAGCATGCCATTATTATTAGATATAACTATTTACAATAACATCATTACTTTTATAAGCTATATTTGCATAAATAGTTGATTCATTGTGTTCAATAGTAAATAAATTTGCATAAATAATTAATTCTTTATGGAATAATTCTAAACTAATTGTTAAAGTCTAGGTCATTGCTTGACTTTGTCATATTGTGAAAGAGTTGAGGTGGAGCCAGAAGCAATTTTTGTACTTGTTTAGGCACAGAGGAGGTGATCCTTGTACCTGATAGTCACTGACAAACAAATCTTGCACTTGTCACCACAAAAGAAACTATCTTTGTACCTATATATGTAGCTAGACTATTTGACACCAAGGGCAATCTTAAATATGGTGCTTTTGGATAAACCTTTCTTTGTCTGTTAAAAATTTTAAAATTATAAAATCACTTTTTATTAATATAATTTTTCATACTCATGTGTGACAGTTTTCTATGAATTTATTAGTTTGCCCATGTAACAAATTTGGAATTTTTGTGCTCTGGACACACCTCTGCCCCTGCCTTTCCATGACCCTGCTTGTACAGTTCCTGCTGACCTTGGAGAGGCAATCCTTGTACTGGTCGGGTATGGAGAGATGATCTTTTCACTTGCCAACATAGAGAGGTGATCCAAGAACAAAATAGTTATAATAATAATCTAAACAAAAATAAACAAACAAATAAACAAAATAGTTGCCATTGATTGCTTTCTTCTTGTGTTTTGTTTGTGTTTTTATGCCTATTTTCCATTAGGTGCATGCAATGCTGTTTTTTTATTTTTCTCCTGTGAATTCTGTTTACAGAAACAACACTACACTGCAGAGCTGTTTGCAATTCTTAAGGCCCTCCAACATGTACAAAGACATGACTACAGACAAACTATAATATATGAGGTCTGTTCAAAAAGTATCGGACTTTATTTTTTCCACGTGAACCAATGATGCGCGGGGGGCCTCTTTCGGTGGAGTTGTGGAGGGGGCAGTCATGCACAGCCCTGAATATTTTCCTGCCTGCAGGAAACGTCAGTCGTTGGCAGTCGGCCTATGAGTGAGGACATGTAGCAAGCTCTCGTCGGATTCCAGTAAGTTGGAAAATGACTGAACAACACGAGCAGCGATATTACATCAAATTTTGCCAAAAACCTTGGTGATACCCGAGCATAAACCATTCGCAAGATTCAGCAGGCTTTCGGGGACGATCCTCGAGGCCAAAAAAAGCGCAGCAGGCCCGCAGCAATATCAAGGTCATGTTGACAGTTTTTTCGACTCTCGTGGGGTGGTGTATTGTGAGTATGCACCACGAGGCCAAACCATCGCAAAGGAGTACGACCAGGAGGTCCTTTGTCATCTTTGCGATGCTGTGTGATGCAAATGACCGGATCTGTGGTCGATCAAAACTTGACAGCTCCATCGTGATAACGCGTCCGCCCATTCTGCGCATCTGATTCGGGCTTTCGTCGCCAAACACAACACTCCTGTCGTTTGTCACGCTCCGTACTCCCCCCACATGGCTCCGTGTGACTTTTGGCTATTTCCCAAGCTGGAAATGCCGCTAAAAGGAACCTGATTTTAGTCGAGAGAAGACATCGACCGGCTGATGGCCATTCCAAAAGATACATTCCAGCAGTGTTTCCAGCAATGGCAGGAATGCTGGGAGAAGTGTATACACTACCAAGGAGAATACTTTGAAGGGGATTAGGGTTTTGTACCTCAAAATCAATAAATGTATTTTTGCCGACCAAAGGTCCGATACTTTTTGAACAGACCTCGTATATATGGACACATGCAGTGCACTGCAGGCAATCAATAGTTTTAGGATAACAGACCATCCAACTCTCAATAGCATAAAGCACCTACTCCAACATCTCAAACTTGCAGGAAATACAATAGCCTTGTACTGGCTGCCCAGACCTACAGGATCCAAGGAAATGAAACAGCAGACAAACTTGCAAAACAAGAAAACAGGAACCAAGCAAGAATATCCAGACTACTATAAAGGCCTAGGTAACTATATCAACAAGTATATATACAACAAATGGCAAGAGGACTGAGACAAACAGCTCAACAATAAACTACACACCATAAAACTGGAGTTAATACAATGGACAACCAGCTAACAGAAAAATTGGAAAGAAGAAATAGTACTTGCCTGATTGAGAACCTGACACACAAGACTAACAGATAATTATCTAATAACTAGGGATACTCAGCTGATATGCTCAACTTGCCACACACCACTTACCATCCAACATACAGGGTGTTTCAATCTGTTAGAAAGAGGAAATTCTAATATGGACTCAAGAGCTAACGTTTGAAACTTTACATAACTAAATAAATAATAATCTACAAACAACTCTTTACTTTAAAGTTCAAAATTTGATTATTTCTGTAGCTTCTGTAGCTTTTTTTTAAAAAAACTGTAAGCTAGTGTAGTCTCTTGATATTTGCTTTTACTTCTAAGCATGCTTGAAATTCTTGAAGTCTTTTCTAGGATTACTTCTTGCTTATAACAATTTTTTTGTTATATAAAGACTTATATAAAGACAATGCAGGCTACCACTTTACTAAGAAGTTTGTAAACAAACCTTTGTAGAGACAAGTGATTTACGATATTTTTGCATATATATTGCCTTAACTTTTGATAACATATCTTCTTTATAACCTTCTACTATAAAACCTCTGTATTCTGTAGTATAAGGCATAGCCAGTTATCATAACACTTAAGTTAAAATAATAATAATGAGGTAATATTACAGTCAAGCACCATCAGCTTGTGGTGTCATCAAACTTCTTGCAGATAGCTATTTTGTTTCATAACCAGCATAATTATAATGAGTGCTGCTTTTAAATAATTATGAATAAATAAGTATACAGATGTTGATAAACCCAACAAATGATACAAATTAACATTACATTAAAAACTAATAGATTGTTTTGAACATAATGAAAGTTGATTTCAACATTGAGTTTAGTATTAAAGTGCAAAAAAGACTTGGAAAACGCATTAATTTTCACACAGACAAATGCATGTAGAAAAATTAAATTTATTTAAAGGTTATAAATTTTAAGTTACATTCTAAGATTTTTAAATTAATAAAGTTAATACAAAAAATTGTTCTACAGATCGAGTGTTTAATGTAAATGACAGCAATTTCTGCATTTATGAAGAGATATGTCTTCCCATTGTTAATTCTGTTATGGAAGGAATTAATGGTGAGTCATTAGAATTCATAATAAGTTGGAAACAATTTTATATAATTTAATTATCTCTTGCACTTTCCAGGAACAATTTTTGCTTATGGGCAGACATCATCTGGAAAAACTTACACAATGGTCGGAACCGGAGATAATCCGGGCATAATATTTTTCACAATAAATTCGATATTTGATACTATTGAAAATGTAAGTTTAAGGTTTATTATAGCACAGTAAATTTTATTTGTTAATAATAATTATAAAATTTCTTTTTATAGATGCCTGATAGAGAATTTTTACTAAGGATTTCATATATGGAAATTTATAATGAAGCCATATCAGATTTACTTTCAGAGAATACAAATCAGAATTTGAGAATCTATGAAAACCTGGTATTAATTTATTTTTATCTCTGTTTAAATTAATCTTTTTTAATTAAATAAGTTTGCATCTGTAGTAAACAAAATCACATTATGGCTTGTGAGCACTAAGATTGGCTTTACCGTTAGACTTATTACACCACCACAGGACATCAAATTAGATTTAGAAAAACACTATTTGATTTTTAGAATGCATTTCGGACATGGAGTCCCTCATCAGCTTTGTGCTACAAAAAATAATAGGAGGTTAACAATTTTTATAAAAAGACTGTGATTGACAGAAATGAACAAAGAATGTGGACTTACATTTGACATGTGGATTCGATGCATTGAACATTAATTAAAAGACTAAACAAGCGATAAAACAAAATTTTCCATTAAAAAACAGTAATGTTGATACAATAACATAATAATAAACTGAGGTACTGGTAAAACAGTAAAGTTGTAAAAATATACATTGTTAAAACAAAATGATAAGTAGATTCACAGTAAAACAAACAGAGTAGCAAGACGATTCGAAGGACATTCCAGAGTAACCGTCACCCTCATCCCTATCCATTTTCACACCTCTCCCCTTTCCCCATGCCCCCTCTGGTCAAATATGCATACCATGATTCGTGAATTTGCTTAGCGCTTTGTTGTCTAGGAACACATCCCCCACGTTAAGTGGGGTCTTACTGTATTATTAATTCTAATTAAATTTTTTTCAGTTATAATCTTCTTCTAAATTTGTTGGCTACAATATTTTTAATTGGTTTTAATTTTTAATGTAGTACATACATCAATTTAACTTGTATTAGATTTTGCAAACAAATCACATTCAAATTCAGTTATAATGAGAAGCATTACAGCACTTGAAAGATTTCCTTATTATAACTATTACTTGTTATATGTGTGAAGAGCAGTGATGTAACTAGGGGAGAATGGGCAGCTTCTTTGGGTGCAAACAAACTGGGCACACTATGGGCAACAAAATTTGTAGCTACGCCACTGATGATTAGTGAAATCTATCTTTTAATTTTTAATTCTAAATAATTTGATTGATTCAAAAAAAAAAAAAAAATATATAAATACATTATATTGATTTTTATTAATAGTTATAAAAACTTCAATATAATTAACATTAAACATCTTTTCATAATTAAAGATAATTTGAATTAATAATATGCCTGATTTCAGTTACTCTTTTTATCTAAGTCTTAAAATTGATGATTGCTTTATACAGTAGAGCGTTGCTTATCTGAATCAATTGGGGACTGGGGTTGTTTGGATAACTTATTTTTCGGATAACCAATTATGTACGAAAAAGTATATTAATTTATCCCGTGTTGAAATTTTTCTCCGCTGCGTGTCGCTTTGTGTTGAATTTTCGTCGATGTTAAGCCTAACGAAGACTATTGTATTGTTAAAAATTATTTTTATTTTGTACAAACAAAATAAATATATTGAAAAATATAAAAACAATAAAAAAAAATATACTTCAGAAGTTAATTTAGAATCAAAAACGTAAAATATTTGAGTAGCTGAAGACATAGGCAAAGATTACAGCACCACAGCACTGGCGAAAATTTAAATTTGCCAACTGGAATTCCTTCGGATAAACGACGCTCTACTGTATTTCTATAATGTTGATACTGTTGAAGAAGATTAAGAAAACTTTCTACACACTTTGACATTTTTAGTATCATGTTCTAACTTGCAAATAATTTCTACTTTTTCATAAACTGAGAGAGATTTTCTTTTCTTCATAGACATCTTTCTTGAGAAGGGTTTGTTTCTAACTATAGTATATGATAATTTTACAATTATAGCGATGATTAGGTAAATTAGCAGACAAGGCTGGAAGCTAGTCAACAAAGAGAGGGACAGTCTACAAAGAAAGTTAAGTGATAAATAGGCCTGTAATCCATGCAGGTCATAAGACTAAGTAACCCTTTCAGTTTTATCGCTTCGAAGAATATGGTATCTCATTTCTTAGTACTTGAACAATTAAGAATGTTCATGTGTTTGCATAGTTACTGAAAATTTGCTTGGTATATTCGTGAAGTATGCTCATTATAACCATGAGAAAATGTATGGAAATATGCATAAATTAAAATTGTTATGGCATTTTGCTCATTATATCCATGTTCATTATAACTAAGTTTGATTGTATATAAGTATATTTTTACACTGATATAAAATTAACAAAATATATAATTTTTAGGATGGTCAGTTGTGTGTACAAGAATTAAAAGAAGTGACAGTTACAAATTATGATCAGATTTGTCAAATATGGAGACAGGGTGAAAGTAAGAATGTTTAAATATTTTAAAGTTATCAAATTTATCAAAGAAGAATAAACTAATTTAAACTATTTACAATATGAAAAAATAATATTACTATATTTCTTTGTTATAGAAAACCGACATATAGATGCAACCTGTATGAATGATAAAAGCTCAAGATCTCACACTATTTTCAGAATGGTAAGCGTTGCTGTATTAAAAATATTATTAATTTATTAATTCTCATCCAAACATGTCAATTTTTGTGATGTAATTCGGATGCTTTATGTATCTGTTGGATAATATGCTCTACTGTATATATATTGTCGGCCTCTGTTGTCGCCTTGTAAAAAAATTGTTTTCTTTTGCTTCTGTACATGCAGTTTTATTTGTAATTGTAAAAAAAAAAAAAAAAAAAAAATTTTTACTTTTGGGTGTTTTTTGTATGGTAGCACACTGTGTTGGCAGTGGGGTTGATATATATGGGGTGCGGACTGGCAACAGGTCATTCGGGTTCTTGGTGTTCAGCTTGTGGAAATATGTCGTCTCTTGGAGCTGTGTATGTTTCTGGTGAACTCTTCTCTTTGTTTGTCATGGTGGAGATTTGTGGTTTTGAAATCTGTTTCCATTGGTGGAAGGACTAGTGAAACACGGTATAAACTTTGTATAAGTGAAGTAATTGCCGGTATACAATATCACTGAGTGAATATTTTTAGCCTGTTTATTGGATTTTGTTTAATGGTTCTTTGCCAAGGGATTCTTTGTGTGAACTGCCATGTGCCATGTACCCTAAGTACACATGTACTTAATTTTTGTATATACATTTTGTACATAAAAAGTTAGTTTTAAGTGTTTCTTATGTTTGTCTGTCCTTTTGGTAATTCAATTCATTCACTCCTGCGAATTTTAACACTACAGATCTTCACAGATCCCACATGCTACATAATAAACATAAATTTTAATTGTTGCAAAATTGAAAGTATTAAATTTCTTATCATGATCATGAGACAGAGGGGTGATAACACCAAAGGTAGAAAATCGCATTGCCAAAAAAGCTGCAATAAATTATTTGAGATGAATTGGAATTGGTCCTGTCATTGAAACCAGGAGAAAAAGATAGAATATGTAATATTGTGGTAAAGGTTAAATATTCTACATTGTTTTTTTATTGAATTGCAATTGTTTTACATAACAATTGTGAGAGTACAGCACTCTCGCTGAAAGGGAATTTACTGCAGGTGATAGTAAGATATTGTTTTTCATTAAATTTCTCTAAAAGAGTCATAAACTTGAAAATCACTGTCAGAATCATTTCAGAACATATCAATTGAGGAATACCACAAATCCCACAGTCAACTGTTATTTATTTTTGAGAAATTCAATTAAAAAAAGCCATGTATCTGATGGATACATATGTGACAAAGTAAGAGTTAAAGTTTAATTCATAAATAATTTTTATCATCATATTTACAAAATTAAGCATTGGAAAATAATATCAGTATTTCTTTTTTATGCAAGATTGTCTGTTATTATTATAATAAAATCTTGTTGAGTTTATGTTTCATGGGTAAAAAGCTTGACTTCAAGTTAACAAGTTTAATACTTGATTTTTTCAGATTTTTCTGTGGCTGTAAATTTCCTGTTATCAAGCCATTTCTCAAGAATCTGTTCACAGAATGATTACAAAATTGTATGTAGTTTATGGCACTTTTGACTGTGTTGTCAACATGCCTCTTGTCACAATCAGAATGCCAGTAAAAGGATGTTGATGTAATGGTGGGATCTGTGTTTGGCAAGGAGCAGGAGTGTTTATCTTAATTGTCTGTATTCATATGGAATGTTAGAGAAAATAAAGACACGGTCCTCCCTATCAAAGGGAAGAGGATACATGGAAAATAGGTTCAAAGTAAAATACTGACAATTTTTACTTAATGAGATCTTATTATATGGAAAACATCCTATATGCTAAGCCCATAACCCATAGATAACTTGAATTAACATGGTTTAGCTTAACAACATTTTGTTGTACTGCATTTTATTCTCTTTCTACAACAGTAATCAACTTCCATTTTTAGTTTAAAAGTATCATTAAAGTTTGAAATTGTATTCAAATAATCCAACGTACACAAAAATAATTTTCAGATCATTGAAAGTAGGAGGAGAGGTGACAATTTAGATGATGCCGTGAAAGTATCTCATTTGGTAAGTTAGATTTTAATTAAAATTCTGAATTAATACAGTTAATGGAGTGTATAAATTAAAAAAAATTTTTTTTAATAGAATCTTGTAGATTTAGCAGGATCTGAGAGATCTGGGCAAACTGGTGCTACTGGAGAAAGATTTAAAGAAGGTGTTCACATCAATAAATCGCTTCTCATGCTGGGTAATATCATTAGTCGTCTCAGTGAAGGAGGAGAAGGGTAAGTTGTGGTTTAAAATTTAATATTAGTTTTTAATTATTATATTTAAATCATTCAATATATTATTATTTATAAATTTTCAGGCAATTTGTAAACTTCAGAGATTCAAAATTAACTAGAATATTACGGAATTCACTTGGAGGCAATACGAGAACAGCAATCATTTGTACAGTTACTCCGGCTTCCTTACAGCAAACGCAGTCAACACTTTTAGTAACTATTTACATTTTAAAATATTTAAGATAAATTACAGTCGACTCTCCCTTATAACACGGTAGATATGTTCTGGTTTTTATGAAATCCATTTTCTACGAGTCCTTAATACATGAGCCAATCACAGCTTGGCACGTATGCAGTTTACAGACTATGGCTGTTTGAAAGGTTTTCATCCATAAAATTAATCGATTCTGGACTAATTCGACTCAACATTTCCAGAATACATATAATTTTTTGGGAATAATCCATATAAACTATGCTATAAACAAAAAATTGTAGGATTACTTACCAAGTGTGCACTGTTTGACGACGCCATTGCTTAAGCTTGTTTTCGTCGTGGAGCTTGTCATAGAATGGCGCTCATGTGCTTCCTGATAAATTATTTTTTTTTGCGAAAAATTCGCTGAACTTTGGAGACATCATTAATATAAATATAATTTTTATGGACGTTAAATAATAAAGGTTTTTAGTAGGTCTGTTGCTCGTTTAAACTCAACGGTTTGTACAATATCTGCTATTAGTCTAGATTCGACCAATCCTGTCGTGACACGAGTCGGCGATGACTCTTTACAGAATTATACGAGTTTTTTAGCATGTTTGTATGAATACTGTCGCAATTTTTTCGCCGTCATAAACGAATCCGAACTATAGGAACCCGTTTTATAGGGGAGTCTACTGTACTACAAAGAAAACTATTGATACATATTTAATAAATTAAATTGTTGCATTTTGTATTTAAAATTAATAAATATATAATAAATTTACCTTCATTTAAATAAAAAGAACTAAAGTAAATTTAAAATGCGGGAGTCGGAGTTGACACATTTTTTTCGACTCCTCTATCCAGAAATTCCTCCCAACTTCAATTCTGACTCCAACTCCACAGCTGTGGTTCTAATAACAGATGTTTAGGACATTTTTAAGGTGTCAGCTATTTCTCATGTTGATCTATGCCTATCATATTGGATTAAAGTCACTACGGACTTATCTTCTATGGTTGAATGCCATCCTGACCAAGATGCATCTTCAAGAGAAAAATCTCATGCCCTAAATTTTGCAAACCATTTCTGGAATGTTTGATCAGTAACTTCATCATTCACATATACAGCATATATTTTTGGAAATAATAGTGCATGAAATGTCAAAAATTCACCTTCTAATCTTCCATTTAAAATTTTTTTTTCTTAAAACATAACATAATTTAAAACAAAAACTGTAACTAGATTTACGTAAGTTTAACTTGTTTAGGTGAGTCTTACAGATATTTATATGTAAGACTCACCTAAACAAGTTAAAACTTGATAAGCATGACAGAGATGACAGAAATGAGCAATTATGTAAATACCCGAACAAACTTTCATTTCAACCCTATACAATGGAAATCTAGATTATTTTTTGAGTTACTTTTTAAAATTACTGTACTTTTAAAAAAGTTTTAAAATTATTTACCACTATGGAGGATGTAGATTTGAGTCTTATCAGACTCTACAATTTATTACAAGTAACGCAAGTCCAGGATCTCATTCCATATTTCCCATTCTTGCTGGCAAATTTGAATTGGACTTGACAGATATAATGGGTTATTAAACCCTATCATAAACATGTGATGGCTATAGGTTTGACTGTAAATGATATGATTATGGTCAGCCATACACTCTTAATATGCTTGTAACATGCATTAATTAACTAATCAATGAATTTAAATTACTATAACTTTCAAATTTGATTACTTCCTAATTCCTGAAGGCTGAAAAAAGATTTAATTTCTAGTATTTATTTCAAAAATGGATTGAAAAAACTTTGATTGCCTTTTGTATTATCCATTTACTAGCAAATATTAAAAATAGGTGTAATTTCAGTACAAAAAATCTATTGTTATTTTACTTATTTACAGTTACTTGCAGTTTATATGCTGACAATATTTATTGTGTTGTCTTATTCTTAAAATACTTTTTATTTTTTAAAGTTTGCGAATCGAGCAAAGTGTATCAAAAATGATCCAGTGGTTAATGAGATATTAACTGATGCGGCAATGCTCAAAAGATGTAAGAAACAAATCAAACAGTTAAATGATGAATTACAGGTAATTAGAATAATTTATTTTTGTATAAATAATAATTGATTATAATATCTAATATAGTATTAATTAATAATAAATTATCTTAAAAATTTATTTTCAAAAGAAAATAAAAGATAGTTCTCAGTCAGAAAAAGTATCTGCAATGGAGAAAGAATTAAAAGAGAAAGATAAACAATTGTTTGAACTGGAGCAGACAATTAAATCACTCACTGAAAATGTTGTTGTTTCTAAACAAGTTCCTGAGAATCAGCAGGTGTGTATTTTATTTTTTTTAAATTTTTTCCCTTAACTTTTAACAACAAATTCTACAGAACTGAGATTTTGAACATACAATAATTAAATATTTATAAATACAAATCATTACTGAAAAACTGTATTGTATTTACCAGGGGTGGGCAAGCAAGAGTTTAGTGGGAGCCGAAATGTAGTTTTTGCAAAATGCATGGGAGCTGCAGTTCTGTACTTTTTTATTCTGTACTATAGTTCCATAATGCAGTTTTATTATGTAATATAAATATAATATAAAACAAATATTGAATTTTTTTAATAAACATATTTTCACAAAATTGTGGAAATAAAATTGTAAAAATAATAATAAAAAGCAGAAATGAACTTTTTCAGCAAGAGCCACTCGTAACTCAAAAAGAGCCGCATTTGCCCATGTCTGGTATATACATTCCGTAGAGCAGCGTTCTGCAAAGCATTGATACTCCATGAAGACATGAGTGCTCTTGTAAACCGTTGTTGTCAACTACTATTCAATAAAAAGTTATTTTAAAATTTATTTGTTTTTTAATTTGTATTGGGTTTAGTAAGATGTTTATATTTATTTATATGCTTTTTATTAACATAGATATTTTTATCTACATACATATATATGCACATATATTTATAAACATTTACAGAGCATCAATACATGTGTGTGTTGCTGAAGAAACACCAAAAATGCTCTGCTATTCTCAAAAGAATATGGCTATTTATATTATTAATTTTGATTTGCTTTATATTCATTTAAATTTAATAAGTTCTTAATAAAGCTCAAAAACAAAAATTGTCCAAAAAATTATCAATCTATTAGGAAATTCAGTTTAAAAAACTGCTATTTTATTAGTTTAAACACCTAAACTTATTATTATAGTTTTAAAATAGACTGTTTTTCTATTTTGCGTGATTTATAAATAAACTGTTTTTAATTTTATTGTATAAAATCAAATGATTCACAACTTTTTTAGGTGATGCAGATAACAACTAAGAAGTTTCTAAAATAGAAATTAAATGGTACTGATGAGTAAAATCAAGTAAAATTAATACTTTATTACTTCTCTTTCAGCGGAAACCTCGAAGAGAGACATGGTGTGCTCCCATGCATTTCAATCAGTTGTCATTGTCCTTCTCTTCAGACCTCCCAGTCACAAAAGAAGAACCATTGATACTACCCACATTTCCCAGACAAAATAATTCCTTACCTAACAATGATAGTGTGATAAATTTTAAAGGTAAATAATCATTCTAATTTTATTTAATACTCAGGAAAAAATAATTCTAAATCGATATTCTAACCTTTTAAATAAGTTAACAAATAAGTCATTGAAACTAAAATATATGTATTTAACAGAATTTGATAAAATATTTTAAATTTATTGTATGTAAATTAATACATTACAGAATTGACATTTGAATTCGGAATGTTCTGTAGCCATGGACTATATTAATGAATTTTCTTTATAATAGTAACAGTATTATAAAGAAACAATATTATTACATTAATAATATGAAAAGTTTACCATTAACTCTTTTATTATTCTTTATTTTGACAAGAGAGACCAAAACTATAGGAAGAGGTATATCTCAGATATTTATATATGTAAATAAACTTATTATTGTGATAACACTACAAAAAAGAAATTTTTTATACTGCTGTCATTAAAATAAGTGACTCCTGTAGAAAAACCATTTTGATTTTAAAAATTTCCTTCAAATTTTCCTATAACACATCTTTTATAAGGATAAACATATAGAAGAGCATATCTATACAGAATGTATATCTGTGAAAATTATTGTAATGTGGTTCGTGACTGTGATATCTCTTTTCCGTGGTTGAAATTGCTTGGTGAAACCTTTTACCATGTGTTTTGCTAACATCTCTAAGATTTTTGGAAAATAGTTTATTTTATTTGAACATTTTCTATTGGACAGATCTAAACAAACTATTCCAACAGCTAGCAACAAAGCTCAATTCCAGTTTAAACTGCTTTAAACAATATGTTTAGTTTAGGAACACATGGTATCAGTTTTAAGTTTTGACTATTAACTTTACTTCACTGAAAGTGCTTCCTGTGGTATTAATTCCTAATATTGGTAGTGTTACATCATCTGCTTTACGTTGGTAAATGTACAAATACCTGATGTAATTAAACTTTAGTATTTTAATATTGTGATGTGATGTGACAGTACATTTCTTGCTAATTTTCAAAATGTAGGTATTGGAATTGACAAAAACCTCCTTTTATATCTTTATGATAAAAATCTAAAACAATTTTTACCTCCAAAGATGGAGTAATTATTAAGAATATCTAAAAAAGTCTTGTATAAAATCACATTATCATCATCAGTTTACTACTACTAAGTGTTAAAATTATGAATCATTTTCCACCAGCATATACCTTTTTTAGTTGTCTGATGATTTCTATTTTGTTTGTTTCTGAATGTACTAAAATACTTGTTTTTGCATTTTTTTGTCATGTCTTTGTTAGTTTTCTTACTTTAATTTTTTGAATGATTATATTTTGTATATTGCATAAATGCTGGCATCACTGTTGTGTGGAAGTTAATGTTTGATATTGCTAGTTAATAGTGCTGGAAGTTTGATTTAGAGACAAGGTGTGTTGCCTTAAAGTCAGCTCAGCGTATTGATTTTATTCATCAACATTTCTGAACAAATGATGACTAAAAAGCAACTTGAGAATAACTCGTGTGCACTTAATTAGCTACATTTTAGAGGGTGATGACATTTCAGATTATTGGGTTCCAAATTGATAAACTTCTACTATATTTAGAATTATTGATATCAAATTAATAAAGATGAGCTGAGAACAAGTAAATAGTATGTTACTGAGAAATGAGATTAAAAATCTTATTAAAGTGACAATGTTACTTAATATATTAGACTATAGAAAAATATCAAAAATAGAAGTAGCTATAGCTAATTATAACAAATTAATAATACAATAAATTTAAACTTAGGTTTCATATTATTAAAAAAAGTTTGTTGAGTTTGTTAGTTAATAAATAAAATTTTAATAGATGTTTTATTTAAGAATTTGTGAATTGAATCATAATCATTTTTTAAATAAAAAAAAAAATCTTAAATTTCTTTTTAAATTTAGAAATATCTCCAGTTTTATTTGAAGCTGATCTTCAAGTGACCGAGAAACAAAAACTCAATAAGGAATTTGATCTTGAAAGAAGAAACAGAAGAATGGTTATGTTTAAACTTCCTCTGATTGATGAAGAAACTCAGACAGATGTAATTATATTTATTTACTGTTACAGGAATCTTTAATTACATATTTGTTTCTTCAGAAATCACTAACAGATGAAAAGAATTTTATATTTAATAGTTTCCTTCAATTAATTGTATTTTTGGAATGTTTTCACCAGTTTTGCTTTTAATTTTCTTCATAAATAGTTTGTGTCGTAATAATTATATGTAACAATTATTAATGCCAATTTGCGATCATAGGAGGTTCAGTCAAAAACATATTGAGACCAATTTTTTTTTGTATGATAACTGTTGTGGCTTTTTTTAAATGTTTTCCATAGAATTGAAAGTACTTTTTATATAGATTTTATTAGTCCTTGAAGAGCTGTAATAGTATATTCTTTGAGATATTCATCAGGATTGCTCCAATGCTTTGCTGATATTGTGGACAGAGAATTGGATTCCTTGTAACTTCAATGTCATTGCTGGAAACTTGGACATTGGAAAAAGTTGCAAAGAGCCACATGTGGGTTGTATGGTGAATGTGAGATGCATGAGATGGTTTTCTTCACCAAAAAATTGCCATCAAATTGCGGTGCAGAGGCATACATTGTTGTTTTGCCATAGGCAGGCAGTAGATAACATTTGCTCTCCATGGCCAAAAATTTAAGTGCAGTTTTTTGCATGGATACATTGAAAAACATTCTTTACAGTGATATAGATTTGGAATTTCTTAGTGCTATACTTTTAGCAAAAAAAGAATTGATCTTAATTTATTTTTACTTGCCCTAGTAATAAATTTGAATGAGATTTTTAAAAAAATAATTTGATAATATGCAAGAGATTTAAACTTCAAAAACATACTATAATGCAAATTATTTAATATGTTTAAATGAGAATGCATTGGATGATTTCCATTTCAGCATATTTTTCTGTATTATAAATTTCCTCCATATTATCAGGAATTATTTAAATGAGAATACTGTATTTATTCAATTGTAAGGCAACTCCAGAAAATTGAAAATAAATAAAAAATGAAAATTTATTAATTAAACATAAGGAATAAATTTTACACCATTTAATTGTTCAACTTCTGTCATCGGATGTTGCTGTCTTCTTACAGAGCATCATCATCTATGCCATAAAGTGCATTCGGAATTGAACTTTTTAAATACACCGGTAATGACTTCTCTAGAAGTACTTTTCCATGTGTGCATACAAAATTTGCAGAAACTTATCTGTAATGGCTTTTGGTGATATTTCTCCAAACTTTAAACTTTGTCAGTAAAGGATGTCACATATTTTACTGACCATATTAATGATGCAGATTCTAAGCCAAAGGATATTTTTTGAATCATGAAAAAATTAAAAAAAGGTCATCTTGAAATTGGGTAAATGATACAATGAACGAATGGTTAGGCTTTATAAGATGTGATAATCTTGAACTTGATTGAAAAGCATTTGACAGAGAAAACAGATCCAGAATGTCTGATTAAAAAGATTTTCTTGCCTAGAATAATTTCCCTATTCGGGAAACCTCTTAGAAATTATTCACATGTGAACTTCTTCACAGTCGGTGGTCTCCCATCCAGCATACAGTCTTGATCCAGTACCCTCTGACTTCAATCTGCTTGGTCAAATGAAGAACATGGTACTTTACAGGGACAATGATTTGATGAAACAGACAGGCGAACGTGGCTCTTAAGAAGTAGGTATAACAGTGACTTTTTTAAAGAAGATTAAAGAGTGCCCAATTATGGCACAAACATCCACTTGTAATGTTGAATTAGTAGTTCCTTTGTATGAAGGAAGAGTTGCTTTGCCAACAAGTGAAGTTTGAATAATCCATATCAGTAAATAAAAAAGTTATGCCCACTTTTGCATTAGTTTGGTACAGCCCTTATAGACATAGCCATTATTGTTTATGATTTTTATCTGATAAGTACAAATAATTTATTTAAAATAGTAAAACATCTTATTCAGTGTTTAAAAAACAAATTGATTCAATATATTCACATCAACAAATGCTGTCATGTTACTTATTGTGATACTTGTCTGGCATACTGTAACCTCGTGAGTCTTTTTAACTCATTTGACTTTAATAAGTAGTGAGATGATCATACTGTTCAGTCTGCATGCTCTGAAATGATGATAATTCCAAATGAAACTCTAATGACATTCACGAAGGAAAGAATTAGTTTTCATCACAAAAAAGATGGCCTCCAACGATACTGTTATTTCTAAATTCATTCAAGTGTATGGCTTTAAAATGTGAAATTCGAAATGTTAAATGAAAGAAAGAATAATGTTGTCATTCTCATTTAATTCATTTTACTTTACATACATTTTGTCTGTTTACTGCTTTACAATCTATATATATAACCCATTCAACATGTATCCGTCCTTCCTTCCGTCCGTCCGTCCGTCCCGTAACCGTTTGATAACGGACACTAGAGGCGCCCCTATCGTGTGTCATATTTCAAACATTCAAATTAAATTAACAATTTTAATTATTATTTAAATTAACAATATAAATTATTATTATTCATATGGCCAATAAATTATTATTTGATCAATATAACAATATAAATAATTCATTATATTTGTAATAGGAATTTATTATTGTAATGGAATGCCTGTAATGTTCACTAGGGGGCGAATAACGAAAAACCGGATAGGTTTGAACCGCTACGATAAAACGATAAGGTTTGAAATAGTTAAGCTAATTTTTTAATATAATAATAGAAACCTTTCATGGCACGACCAAAGAAATACGCCACTGTGGAGGAACGTAAAGCTGCCGCAGCTGCGAGACAAAGGGAGAGACGTGCGCAGGAAAGATTACAGAGAATAGCACAATCAACACGTGGAGGCTTGCAGAATGAAACTCATCAGCCTCAGGAATTTGTAATGCTGCTGGAACGCCCATTAGGGGGCGTCCCGGGCTACTAGTGTAGATATATATGATTATGCAACTAGCAATAAGTTTGTTTCTTTTTTTAAATGATTGTTTTAAATTGTTTAATTAAATAAACAATTTATATAAATTTTAATTTATTAGCCTATATATCAAGAAGGAAAGTCAATTGCAGAAATATTTGAAGATTATAAAATGATGTAAGTATTTGTTTTAGCTTAACATTTATGAAAAAGACCGTCTTTTTTGAAAATTAAATTGTAGTTTGTTTTATAAAGACAAATGAAATTAAATACAAGCTTTGAATTAGGCTTCCTGTAATTCCTATCTTTATGCAACACAAGTTGATTATTATTAATTTTTATTAGCTGTATGAAAGATCTTAGTGTAAATTTAGAAGGGCATGTTTTTACTCTTTCCATCCTGCGAGCACTAAGGGGGCTTTTTTTTTAATCATATCCAACAGCCATTACAGGTTTGTCCAGGACCACAATAATTGTGTGGAATGGGCTCTGACATTTCCGGGACAGACCTCTCACAAAAAATTTCCAAGGTTGCTCGTCTGAATTTGATCTTGGGTCCCAAGAACGGTAAGCTGATGCCTTAACTGCCTCGACCATCCATTTAACAGATGGCCAAATTTAAATTTAAAAACTTTCCATAAAAAATTTGAAGCGTGTTAGTAGTCTGATTGACAGAAGCTTTTTGATATAATATATCTGTGAGACATGAATTTCATTTTTCTGTTTAATTGAACAAATTGTTCAGATATTAATATAAATTTATTTTATATTATTTATCAAGTAATACTTTGCTTTTGTGAAAAATCTTTATCTAACATGTGTCGTATATCAATGCTTGCTATGAAAATTTGTACTCTTGCCTACAGAGCCTCTCAAATGTTATCTGTTTGCTTACATTTACACTACTATTTACAAGTAACAGAAAAAGCTTTACTTCTGTTTTATAATGAGTAATATTTTTGAACCTGGCCTGTTCTAAGATATTCATTAGACATGCACAATACACATAGATAATAAACCGTTCTGTTTAGGTTATACCTGTCACAAAACTGGATGCACATGTCTCACCATTACTCAATGTGAATGTAACAAGCAGCCAAATTTTTGTGTGATAAACTTTGCAATTATCATTGTAATACAGATCTCATTAATGTGAAGACCCGACTGTTTAATTGTACTCTTATCCAAAAACTTAAACACTTCAACATTGTTTAATATAATGTATTGAATTTGTAATTTTTCTTAATTGCATCAATTAATACAAAATTCAATAATTTTTAAATATTATAATCAGAATTTCAGTTATAATTATCATTATTATGGTAAATAGACATTTTTAAGCTGTCTTTTGTTGTCATTTCCAACATGTGGTTAATAATTTGCAGTTGTTATCAGTCACAGCCTGTACTTTAAATGTTAAACAGCAATTGTTTTAGTTGTTATTGTTCACAATAAAATAGTTAAGTTGCTGGCATCACATGCTTCAATAAAATAGTAAGCTGTTAAAGACAATGGTACAAAAGAGCTCCATTACATGAACAATACTGGATGAATTTCTATTAATTAATATAATACTTTTAGTTACTCTATTTAATAAACACTGTACAAATGACCAATATCTAGCAAGAAGAAATTACAAGAAAACAAATGTTTTCAATTGTGTTTAACAGGCATCATCATACTAACTTGAGTGTTAATACTAGGGAGCAATTGATGATCCAACTGGTAGGTGCTGTTTGAGTCCTATTAGCAAGTTAAGGATGGTTTATCTGTGTCTCCTGGAGAGTCTGATCACTTTCTGAAGGCAAAGGTTCTGTATGCAGTGGGTCAGAGAAGCACATTCAGGGGGGAAGCAGACGTTGAAAATGGAAGATGCCTAAACAGTGGTATTGCATTAAGTTCATTTTGGCTGTGGTACAGCAAAGGCAAAGGACAAGTGTGAGAATAGGGTTGGCTCTGGAATATTTCTTGTCTCACTAGGATGGCCATTAATTAATCATTGAAAGTCAAGAAGAAGCAAATGTTTCGACTTTCTCAGATTTATTGTCAAGATCTGATACCAGTTAGGATAAAACTCTTCCACATCCTAACTCACAACTTTTTTCTAAATGGAAAAATATGTTAAAATCTTTCTGCAATTTAAAAGGGTCTAATTCTAAACGTTCTAAACATGAGTTGACGATGGAGCTAGGGATTAACAAATCAAATTATGATAATTAAGGGATATTTATTATAACAGGTTTGATAATGTTTATATACAAAAAGGAGATTGAATTCAAATTAATACAAAAATAAACATATTAAAGAATACAAACTTCTAATGATAAATGATTCTTAGGAATAAGATTAAATGTCAACTATTAATTAGTTCATTTCACAGAGAGAGAAAGAACTTACATAAATTTATATTACCTGTGAACATATATGTACATAATTCTGTATAGTGAGTATTCTTCAAATGAGGCACAAGTTTAAAGTTTCTGTGTATTGTCCTGTCTCAGAGGAGAATGAGTAGGAGCTGGAGGGAAATGAAGAGCCAGTGCAAGAGCACTAGAGAATGAGCAATGTGAGAGAACTACAAATTAGTATGGAAAGAGCCGTGTTTGGAGGTGATTATCACCTTTTATACCAAAATTTCCTTCAATCATATTATTTGAAATAAGCCCTCCATGCTTCCAACGCATGATGGAAGTCGGGCGGTCTTGCAGATAGTGTGAGAGACATCCCACACTAACTATCACTTTTGGAGAAATTGAATTGTTTTCTTTCATCAAAACAAGAAGTTCCTTTTTTTAACTTCACACAGTTTTGTAAAAGAGATAAAATTTCTATCAAATAAATTTAATAATTATTTTTACAAAATTTGTTAAAATTAATTCCTCAGCTCCAGATTCTCACGTGAACTTATAATATTTGGCTGGCAAAGCCATATATAGATTCAACTACTCAAAATTGGGAATGTATTAATAAACAGTGCACAAATAATCAATATCCAGCAAGAGGAAATTACAACAAAGCAAGGGTTTCCAACCATGTTTATGGACATGGTCAGACTAAGTTAGCCCGATGCCCATTAAACACGGTCGCAAACATTTGCTTTGTTGCATACATATATAATAATTGAGAGAATTTTTTTAAGGGCCTTTTTCTTCCAAACGTGTCTTTCAAATATATTTTTACAGTATGTAAAAAAAATTAACAGGCGATATAAAATTATTTTTCAAAAATCTTCAAATTTAACAAGTGATTTTATATAAATAAATACAGGAAAGAAGAAAAAAAAAAACGCAATTTGTATGAATATATCTTTGAGATTTTAATTTTTCTTTAATTCTGTAATTTTATAAATATTAGTTTTATAATTATTTAAAAAACTTTTGTATATAAATGATCTCTGAATTATCTTTCAGTACGGATGATTACGAAAGAATAAAAACTGATTATTTAGAACTTAAAGAATTCACAACGCTTGAGAAGCAAATTTTATCTGAAGATAATATTGGAGAAAATAATCTTGTAAGTTAAATTATGTAAATTTTATTTATTTTTAAATAAAATATTTTATTTAAAGAAATATTATTAATTAAATTTTTGTTTCTTATATATTTATATTAGCAGATGAGCCCGGCGTTACTCGGGCAAAAAATGACAAAGATTAAGATTATTAAATTATTTCGTACTTCTAAACCTTCTATTATATTATATTATATTATAGTATTTGATTTATATTTACAAAGATGATCTTATGTAAAAGTTTATATGAGATGGTATTAAATGCCACAGTCTCATTTGTCGAGTAGACGCCAATTGAAAATACAGTATCTTAACTTTGATAACCACTTAAAAGGAATCTTTTGGATAAATAAACCAAAATGTTATGCCCTTTGAATCCAATGCTCCCGAGTTCAAGAATTACTCAGAAGACAATTAATCAAAATCAATCACAGTAATAAGGTTACTGTGATTGATTTCAAAGAGTTTGAAATATTGGTGTAAGCTCTGTTGCAGATTGTACCTTTACTGAAGTAGGATTGGCAAGAATTCTGATCCAAACTGCATTTAAATAAAATATCTGAGGATTAATCATCATCATAATAATTCTTGAACTTGGGCGAGCATCATATTCAAAGGTCATAACATTTCGGTTTATTCGTCCAAAAGACCCCTTTTAAGTGGTTATAAAAGTGACTGATTATATCCAACAAATATTTGCTAATTTTAGCTTCTTATTTGCAAAAAATGGACCCAATATTTAAACTTGGCACCTTCAAAAACCACTTCAATCATATTTTGTTATTGCTGGCAATCTTGTATTATGCAATTTTCCTATTATCTACAGAAATATATAAGCATAACTAAAACTATATTTTTTTTGTATTAATTTACCTTACCTTACAAGTTATAATTGTATGTAGAAATTTTACATTATTGGTATACCAATTTTATATTCAAATTTACAATTAATAGAAATTCTCTTCAAGAGTGTAGAATAATATAGTACATGTACAAAGCTTTCTAAATAATAAAAAATTAATGACGGCTTAATATGTTCTAATCAAATAAAACCAGCCAGATGGTTAAGCAGTCGAGGTAGTGACTTACTGTTCTGGGGGACTTGGGATTGGATTCAGACTGGTCAATTAATCCCCAGGAGTTTTTCAGGGTGGTCCATCCGGATATGTTGGGCCCCATCCCTCACCACTCGGATGCCCCATTGTGGGGTGTGCCTAGCCGAATCCGTAATGGGCTTGCAAAATGAAGTCCTCTTAGTGTTCACTGGGTGGAAAGAGTTTTTTTTTTCTTTTTTTAAATACCCAAACTTTAACAAATTTTTACATCATAGCATTGTTTCCTCTGATGTCACATTTTCTAGTAAAAGTAAGGAAGATTGGAGTTGTTCTGGATATAGAAGTAGATTGTAGCAATCAGTTGGACAGGTGGATGGGCAGACAGACAATAGCGGGAATTTATAGGTCTACAATCTTTTCAAACTGCAACCCAATTATGTTGTTAAATTAATTAAACAGATTCTACTAAAACTTATATAAAAATTTATAATAAACTTTTTCATCTAGGATACAGCACTAAACAAAACAAAAAGAATTCAAATTTTTGTTAGAAGAAATTTTAAAACTATGGAAATGTAAATGTACAGGTTTCAATAATGACACAGGCTGACGAAATTCCAAACAGGCCAGATGGCCAAGACAGTCAAGGCGTGGCCTACCGCACTGGAAGACCCATAATTGAATCTGGACAGGTTGTAAAACACCAAGAACTTTTGGAAACAGTCTGTATCAGATACATTCAGCCTAGTCCCTCACCATCTAGTTGCCCCATTGTGGGCCTGACCAAACCACAAAGGGCCTTCTTAATGCCATAGGACAGAAAAAGTTAAGAGTCAAATAACATTAAATTCAAGGTTTAATTTGTAAAATTTGTAATTATTATTTTTTTATGTTAATTCTATTTTCTTTATCTGATTATTAAGTACTTGCATATAGCTAAAGCAAATTTTCATTCCTGTTAGTAGAAGAGTAAAATCTATATATATACATATAAAATGTTTGCTTGTTCACTATATGCTCCTAGGCTGTTTGATCAATTGCTATGAAACTCAGCAGTTACGTTTACATACTTCTACCTTAGCTAATGTTGTACATCCCACTCCAAAATATCGATTGCATTTCTGTAAATCAATTAGTTTTTATCTACATTTGATTTGCCGTCTGTCAGCAAAAAAAGTTAACAAAATAATAAACTAAATATAATTCTTATAAAAAAGGATATAATTTTTAAAAATTTCTATTACATTCACTTAATTACTGTGACAATGATATAGCACGAAATAAGCATGCTATATCATTACTGAGAAATGTAGTGTATTGCACTTGTCTGCACGGAATTAAGTGTTTAAGTCTGTGAATAGTCTATAAGTATTTAATTTTCCACATCTAACAACTCAAGTGTTTTTATTTCTGAATGGTACTTACTTAATTCTAATAAGTGTCCTCCATTAGCTGAGTGGATAAAACCACTGAACACTGGTAATTATAGTCAGTCATAGGCTTGGGTATGGCCAACAAGCAGGCCATGTGGGGTTTTCAGGATTTTCTTCCTTTTAGTAATACCTAAATAGGTCTAGCTTCCCATTAGTCTTCCCTTGGCAGATTGCTCACATTACATTGCCAAAACCAAATAAACCAAGCTAATTCTAACATGTGATAATATATTGTGACATTGTCACATTGCTGGGCTGCAACTTTTTGTCACAATGTTCTCAATTCTTCTAATGGTGGTCTTGCCATTGTACGTCATACTTTTCCTGTTAGTAATAGAGTAGTGTCGGTCATCTAACTCTTTTCAGGAGAAAATTGTGAATCGAAATAACCATATTTCCGTTCCAAACCATTTACAGTTAATCTAGGTCACCTGCCTTAAGCTTTTCACATCTGATCTCGACTTTCATCTATCAATACTTCACATGTAGTTTACACAATCTGTTTAAGCACTTAATTTAAGCACTTTATTATCACATAAAAGTAATTATTCTCACATTTTTATAAGATATTTTTACTTAAGCAAATCATATGAAGTTTTTTGGATATTAAGGTTGCAATTTCAATTATGTGCAGGGCCATCACAACCTATACATCACTGATCACTTTTTCACTTTTCAAATTTAATACAGTGGAGTCTCGAAAACTCGGCACTCGATAACCCGGCAGTCCGGATAACTCGGCCACACCCTGGCAGGGCAAAAAAATCCTTAGTTCATTAATTTTCATTATAGACAGCTTTATGCCTCATAAAGTATTTTTCTGAGGTCTGTTTTATCAGGTAAATTACTGTACACAGTGTATTCATTAATTTTCATTTTCATGTAGTAAAGGCTCTATGCCTTCATAAAGGATGTACTTTTCCTTTGTTTATGGGTATTTGGGCAGTTTATTCTCTGTTGTATTCTCAAGTAAACAATACATACAAATACAGTACAGTATTTTCTGAGGAAACACTCGTACTTATTTAACCCCATTCCCAATAACCCGGCATTTTCACAAACTCGGCCACTCTTCAGTCCACATTAGGCCGAGTTTTCGAGACTCTACAGGCCGAGTTTTCGAGACTGTACTGTAGTAGATTGGTATTGTATTAAAATTATACTGAAGAATACAAACATGCAGATAGTGAAGACAAAACTTTGTATTCTTAATTATAATTTTAATATGTAAATTACCACTGGCTATTTTAATGACAATAGACTTACTTTTAATAGTGTAAAATGTCCTTAATTTAGAATTAAGTGACTGTTAGAATATGTAAATTAAGTAAATCAAATCTCTGCTATTAGCACTATTAAAATTCTTACTTATAGATGAAAATAAATCATTGTTTATTCTTCTTTTATTGAGTTTGATGTAACAAATACTTACGATGTTGATTAAGGATGTAGCCAAAGTGGGCAGCATTTCCCACACTAATGCTCTTCTGTCCCTCACTTTCTGCCGGTCTTCACTGCTGTTCCACCTGAGTTTGAAAGAAAACAGTTGCCAGCATAAAAAAAGAATGTCAAGCAGTTGATTACTGGATGAAACAGATACAAATGGCTTGCCTAGAACATAGGAAGAGCTGCCATGTTGGTATGGCATATCCTTGCACAGTAATGTGTTGCTAGTGCTCATGGGCTATTGCATGCAGTAGCCTATCCCAGTAGTTTGCAACATATGGCACGTGTGTTACCTGGTGACACGCGGAAGGTTTTTTGGTGGTACGGCCTAGAGAATGACAATTAATGAAAGTTTTTCAGTGCTTTAATAAAAAATACTGTTAATAATAATATAATTTATAAGACATAGATTAAAATTTTATTGTAATAACTGAAAGATGGAATGAACTTCCAGACAGATTTTCTTGTATGAAGAAAGTCTCCTTCGCTCTTCTAACTGTTTTCGGTAGAATGTACTACCGTGAGCAAACATTCAAAGTGATGAAATATATTATAAATCCGTATAGAATTTATTTAACCAAACAAAATTTGGAAATGTGCATAAAGTTAAAAAAATTCAAACTATGAACCAAATATTAAACTGTTAGCTTCAAAATTTGAACATCAAGGGAGTCAGTAATGCTTAAATATTGTGATTTATTGTAGTGTGTATTATTAAAGTCAAATGATGTTTTCTTAACATTGTTTTACTAGTTTGATTTCAGTGGCACATGGAGTGCACGATACTTGAAAAAAAAATTGTGGCACTCCAGTGTGTATAGGTTTACAACCATTGGCCTGTCCACGTATGCTAAGTCTATGCAAGCCATACGCAATGCAGGTGACCCATATTCAAATTCGTTGATATAAAAATAAATATGAAATATGGTTGATTAAATTGTTTAAGATAAATAAAACTTATTTTTTCACTTTTTATGCATCCAAATAAATTTCTGATCTTATAATTTATCAGAGTTTAATACTTATTCCTTCTTTCTCTACAATGTTCTGGAAATGAATTAAAAATCATACATTATGTTTATAGAACTTGTAAAAAATGTATTTCAATAATTATAGGTCCAAATATTGTATCAACGCATTAAAAGTCAAGAAGCTCAAATGGGAGAAATCCAGAAATTGCTTACAAAAGAATATTTTAAATCTCGTGAGAGGAGAAGCATTATTCCCAACTACAGTTTTAGCAAAGAAAAAGTAATGGAAGAAATATGTGAAGAGAAACAATTAATTGATGAATTTAATCAACTGAAGTATAATTTGGTAAGTTATTTTATAATTGAATTTGCTACGATACATTTTCAATTTTATATTTGAATTTTAACATAAAGAATATTGTAATGTATAAGAAAAAGTTTAATTAGATTTTTAAGCATTCGAAAAAACTTTTTTTTAGCAAACTAATGAAGAAACGATCAGAAATTTACAGAAGGACAATGAGAAAATCTTTGAGTTGGAACAGCAGTTGAAGCAAAAATCTGTTCGTGAAAAAGAATTGACTACACAGTTAGATGAAATGTACAAAGAACTCAATCATTCAAAAAATACTTTGCAGTTAATGTAAGTGTCTAGTTTAAGCATTATATCTGAATGTCTATCGTGTCTTTTTAAAGCAGTGCTGCTAGAATGATGATCTGCAGACTGGTACCAATCTGCCAATTTATATTTATAATAATAATATGTGTTTACAGAAACATATACGGTAATAATTATTATGCAGTACTGCTATAGTACATACAGATAGCTCTCAGTTAATATTCTTTCAGTTTAACACAGTTCATTTATTGTGGAAAATTTTTCTGATTCAATGCTGTTCAAAAGAAGGCACTGCATGGAGCATTTGCTCAACACAGTTTTTGTTTACTACACTTCAAGAAACAGTCCTTGCGCAGTAGTAATGGAATGATACCAAATTTTTCCTGTTCTGATTTTGCCAAAAACTTCAGATTCTGAATTTTTTTTTTTAAACTTTCTAAAGTTTATTTTAGTTCTGAAAAATTAATGATTTACATTACGAGCATGATACATTCATTAATTAATAAACATCAAGCTTAGAAATGGAAAATGATTAGGAAATCCAGAATCAATCTTTTGGAAAAAACCTGAAAATTCTCCATTTATATGTGGATAAACTTGCTTTTATTGTGTACTACAAAAAAATCTGTAATTTAATTTCAGATAATTTTCAGATAATAATAATAATATTGCAACACTACCCCAAAGAAATTACAGCTTTTTACTCAAAGAACTATCCAATCATGTCACCTAAGGTCTTTGGAAACTGTTTTGTTGACCAATGCAATGACCAGGAGAGGGGCAATAAATGAGGTTCGGCAAATGATGCAACAAGCTGAACAAAATAATGTCATCATTATGAGTTAACCAGTTTTTCTATTCATTTATTTGAGCCAGGTTTTCCTAAATGTACAGTTGTGTGAACATTTTGGAGGAAAAGAAGAATTAGACAAATATCTGGACTGACTCTTCTTGAAAAATTCAATTTTTAAAATTCAAAATGGTAATAGTCTTAATGTGAACAGGTATTTTTACTTAGAATCATAATCATGCGAATTACATTTGAAAATTTAGCATACTACAGTATCATCTGTGAATCATAACAAAAATTTTCAATCTCCAATTGAAACAAATAATTAATGTTATTAAATGTGGAAGATTCAGAAATCACGATGAGATTTGCTCAATTCTGATTACTGGAAAATGTCTGATTCTGATTAATTGTCCCATCACTATTGTGCAGCAGACATATAGATAGTCTTAAATTAATATGATAGATATCTAAATATAAAGATACTGTTGTGGAGGAATTTAGGAATTTGAATACAGTAATGCAAATTACAGTAAATATATAGTATTAGTCCTGACAAATAAAAAAAATATTACTGATATGCTAGTTTAAAAAGCATTGTCTTAAAGTATAATGTCTAAAAAAGTTGTGTTTTTGCAATTTTTCTAGTATTGTAAATGCTTCTGGTTTGGAATGAATGAATTCAATAAAAAGTTTTGAATTTGAACCATTCCAGAATTAATATTTTACATTAAAGAATTACTTATAACCAATTGCGCATAGATGCTAAATAATGTTTATAATTTCATTTTAGGACAGAAAACTTTAATGAACAGATGAAAGAAAAGAAGAATGAAATCAAAGTTCTTAGTAATCAGATTCTAGAGTTATCAAATGATGATAAATGTTTAAAATTAGAAGAGGATAACAAAAATTATAAAAAGCAAATCCATTCTCTCTTGGAGTCGATACGAGAGTGTGATTTTGAGAAAAAACAGTTAAAAGAAGAACTTGCAACATTTAATGAGCCTCTAAAGAAATTAACAGCAGAAATTTTAGCAATATTGGATAAAAATTCCAAACTGGAAAAGATCGTTTCTGACCTAGAACAGAGAAATCAAGAAATTGAAAAGCGTTTGAATACTTTAAATACTGAACTTTTGTGTCAACAAGAACTTAGGGATAAACTTTCTGAAAATCAAAATTTAGAGTTTTTGTATCTCAATATTGTAGAAGAATGGCAACAAGAGATTTTATTTTTGAGAGAAGCAGAATTAGAAACACATTATTGGTATCAGATACAGATTGTTATACAAAAACATCGTACAGAAAAGGCAAAAATCAATCCTACAGAAGCTGTTTCTACAGTTAAATTTGAGGAAAACAAGGAGCTTTTATCATCGCTAAAAGAAAATATCTCCTTATATAAAACGGAAATAGGTAATTTAAAAGAAAAAATTCTGTCTTATAGAAATCAAGTAGAAGAATGCAAATTAATAATCGAGGAATATAGGAAGAAGTATATGGAAATGCTTGAGTCAGAAAGTGCAATAAATTCTAGATACGAGAGAAACTTTCGCAATATATTTGATTTACAAATGGAAATAGCACAAGAGAAATACAAACAGGAAAATGTCAAATATGAATTATTACAAGAAATTTATAATATAAATGACAACTATCAGAAATCGGAAGAATATGTAAAGAAGCAGTTGGCACAACTTGAAGAAATGCTTTCCGACGAGGAAGCTAGAAACATGGGAGCACGTTCTCTACAGATGGAGGTTTCTTCTTTATTAGATGATGTAAAGCATAAAGAGGAGGAGATTGAAAGGTATAAATTATTGTTATCCAAGAAGGATGATGAAAAAAATTTATTATCCATGAAACTTGAGACTGTTTCGAAAGAACTAGAAGATCTAAGATTTGTGCCAAACATTGAAAGACTGGATTCAATTATTCAATGCTCCATTTTAGATGCAAAAACATTTTCAGGAATGTCCTCTCAGGTAAGTGCAATGGTGTTAATCATTTGTTTTACTCTTTGGTATTGATATTTTCATACTTACAGAATTTGTTGGCCTAAATTTTTGTTATAATTAACAGTTCTATTTTGATTTAAATAAAAATTTATTTGCATGTAGCCATCTTTTTTTTGTTATATGCTCAATCCCAACTAAGTGGAGAGGTGTTTGAAGCAGCATTTGTTTATGTGTGATGTTAGAAACCATGTTGCATTTTTTATCATTTTCTACTGTGTTGATATCTCTGTAGTTAGACTGAAAATCCCAAAAATATTAGTGTTTTACTGGAATTTTTCCATCTTAGATGACTTTCAGACAGGCTACTTGGTTGCACCACTGAATGGCACAAATCAGTTATGCTCATTCCTCCCCTCATTGAAATCCTTGTTTTTTGAAGGTATGCAGACATTAGTGACTGTGGCAGAGATATGCAGATCTCCATCACAAGTGGTGTAAAGCTTTCTACATGGACCGCTTGGCTGCGCCAAGTAATTGGGCCAACACAAAGTCACTAAGTGACCTCGACAAAACTATTAAGCCGCAGTCACAACATGCGATTTCCAGCCGCGCAGGAGATCACAACTGCAATAAGTGCAAGTTGCGCCCATCTTCTCGTTGTCACACATTGTTCGTTGGCGTTGCAACTCAGAAACACATGACCCTACAATAAACCAATAAAATTACAATAGTTTGTTTTTGACTACTTTTGTGAGTTTACCAACATTTTTTGTTCTACTACAAAGTATTTATGGAATTTTAGCCACTTTTCTTATTAAAATGGCAAGCAGACCCTTTTCTGCAATGAATAAAAGAAAAAGAGGCCATAATTTTGTTAGAGCTTGAGAAAACATTCATGCTGGGTTAAAACTTGGTGAAATGAAAATCAGCGGGCTAAACAATCGTGCTTCCACCAGCTGATGAATGAATTAACGCTTTTGTATGCCAAAGGTTATAGGGAATATATCCGAATGAATATAAATACTTTTCAAAGTATTCTAAGGGGGATAACCCCCATAATAGCTAAAGAAGATACATCTTCGAAATTCTCTTTCACCTGGAGAACGTGCTCGTGAACTTCTGGGTTGAAAGGTCAAAGCTTATGGGGATTTCCCACAGAGCTAATTCAGTTTTACACCTTAATTTTATGCTTATAAAGATAAAATTGCATGGAAACAAATGAATTTTATTCAAAATGTTACTCAGAATTACAAAAGCTCAGATTTATATGAATTAGAACTTCTTATATCGATTTTTCTAAACAGTGTATTGAAAGCACTCGATTGGCAGTGCGTTCAATTGCCAGTTGCTGAGCTCCAGCTGATCTTAAATCTTAACATAATAATATAATTATTAAACAAAAACATCTGCGATGTAAAAAAATTTGACAATTTAGACAATGGTCAAAATTTTTCTTAGTTTTTCTTTGGTAAAGATAATCTTGGTGCTTGGAAGCATTGCTCACAAGATTTTTGCCTGTATTATTATTTTCTATATTTTGCCTCCAAGCATCACTCTTATCTTTACCAAACAAAAACTGCAAAGAAAAATTTTGACCGTCGTCCGAAACTGATATAAATTTTCACTTGGTGAAATGTTTTTTACATCTTAGATGTTTCTGTTTCAATTCATAATCTTATCAACACAAGCAAATAAGCTTCGCATGTTACTACATATGGACAAAAAAGACAAGTCTGATATGAAAATAGGATAGCGCCATCAGTGTTTTTTTTTTAATTGTAATGTTATGGACTATTTTCTCGTGCATGCATATTCGTTACACTTCAAATATAACAACTACAACTCTATCTGAAAATTAATATGAAGAAGTAAAATTTTATTTAATGACATAGATGAGTTAAATCTACAGAGACTTCATTTTTGCTAAATAGGAAATGACATTTTTAAAATCTCTTTTATAAGCTTTAAATGTGAGGAATAACAATAGTAATAATAATGCTAATGCTACAGTAAAATAAAATAATTTTGTTACACATTTAAAAAAGAAAAACTGAAAGTGTAATGGCTGAAACATGCATTTCACATGCCTAGCATCTTGTGCAATTCACTATTGCAATTACAAGAGTTGAAACTTCCAAATACTTATACACTAAACACTCAATTTTCAGAGGCTTGTTTTTCAAAAATGCTTGACAGGTGGGTCCTATTATTTGGATAAGGATCTTTCTCTGTTTAGGGCTATGTTCTCACCAAGTTTCATTTGAATCAGAGAGGCAAACATCTGGCCATCTCCTTGTAAGTGGTGGCACAGCTGAGTTTCTGGTACACTTGATTAAATTCACCTATCAGTGGAGCAACCGATTGCCTTGTCTAAAAGAATTTGAGGAAATTGGAGAAATAAATTTTGTTTATAAAATTATCAGTGTTTTTTGAGTAAAAAGCATTAATTAAAGTGTTTTGGGATAACTAAAAGAATACTACTGAAGCATTGTTCAGAGAATCCTCTGCTGAGAATTACAGTTACATTTCTATAGTATTTTTCAAAGGAACATGTAATAATAACCGCAAATGTAAAATGCCTAATGATGCTATAGTATAATACAAAGTGAGAATTGCTACACTCTTGCCTGATATATAAAACATGTTTTTTTTTTTAGTTAGAAAAATACGCTTATGAAAAGCGAGAGATAGAAGCGGAACTTATTCAAGCAGAAATGGCAAATAAAAATCTGTCATCAACTGTAGAATTACAAGAAAAAAAGATAACAGATTATGAGGTTGAATGCAATCTCTTTTTGTTTAATTTAGAAACTATTTATTTTGGATTAAGGACTAACCAGTCTTATTTATTTTAGCTAAAAGTTAATTCGTTAGAAGCTGAATTGGATAAGCTAAACAATCTGTCGGAGAGGTTAAAGAATAAACTACCCCCACAAAACATGGGTTCGCAGACGGAAGAAGAGGTGCCTTCCAATGACACGAATGCTGTCATGGAAGCCAGGAGAGAATTGTGTAAACAGAAAATGCTTAATCTGGAAATGAAGAATCAATTGTCTAATGTGAAAAAAGAGTAAGTGTGTAGACAATAAATACACTACTTTCAAAATATAATTTATTTAAGTGTTTCGCATCTACTTTTTAAAGTTATGAATCTTCTAAAGAAGAAAATAAATATTTAAATGAGAAAGTACAGCAATTAAAAATGGAGGTGAGACGTCTCCAACAACCAGCAGATTTTTCAAGTAAGTCTTAAGAGAGACTAGAATAGATTTGTAATTTTATGAATGAAACAAAATTAAATACTTTCTCTATTGCAGTAGTTTGTCCACCAAAACTGAGAGAGGTGAAAGAGGAAGACATTCAGTTTTTCGAAGGAAGCGGAAGCGGCATTATCAATAATTTAAAAATTAGTTGGATGGAAAACAGGCTTCATAATTTAGAAACAGAATATAAGAAAGTTAAAATGGAAAATACAAGATTGAAGAATGATATGAAGGAAAATAATGTGGAGTGTGACGTGTAAGAATCTCAGTCATTTATTAATGGCATGGCAAATGAAATGCTAATATTCACCACAATCACACCAATATTAGCATTTCACTTGAAATCTAAAGATTGTATCGAGATACATTTTCCAACTGAATAAGAATCTGTATCTATTTGTACAGTACATTGAATATGTCTTTCCGCCCTGTTGGCCGAACCCATAATGGGTTTGCTAAAAGAGGCCCTCTTAGTGCCCACAGGGCAGAAAGAGTAAAAAAAAAAATTCTGTATTGTACAAATAGACACAGATCTCATACTGTACAAATAAACACAGATTCTTAATCAGTTGAAAAATGTATTTCAATACAATCTTCAGATGTTGGGTATTGGGTACACTTTAAATTACTGGGTATTGGGAAACTTGTGACACTCCTAGAAAGTTGTGGCAACCTGGAGTATTACAAAACTACTGATACACATGTACTGTACTTTCTGGTGTATAAGACGACTGGGCGTATAAGATGACCCCTGACTTTTACAGTTAAAATATAGAGTTTGGGATGTACTCGCCATATAAGACTACCCCAGCCTGCTCTTGTATCCTATTACCGTACCTCCTTCTCTGCCTCTCAGATCTCACACATGCACATCTGTGCCACTTCACTGCAGTCCTCAGGAGTGAGATCAGAGAGGCAGAGAAAGAGGTACGCTAATAGGATACATACAAGGGTGGGCCAGAGAGATGAAAAATGCGTGTTTTTATAGGCACAGCGCTGCTCTATCTCCATCCATACCCTGGGCGTCCCAGCCAACTGCAGCACCTCCCTATAAGATGACCCCCGACTTTTGAGAAGATTTTCCTGGTTAAAAAGTTGTCTTATACACTGGAAAATACAGTAAATGTAAATAAAAATAGCCTTATGTATATAAATATAAAGTAATTGAATCTATATTATGTCTATATACACAGAGCTATTTATGAATTCCATTTACAGCTGGTATATATTTTCTGTTATAATTTATAAGATGCAGCTAAGATGAAATAGAATTTTTTTACATTTATTCTTATAAATATAATAATTTTTATGTTTATCCCTTTTAAAATATTCTCTGGTCTGGCTGCTCTGTTTGTGATTTTCAGATCTAAAAATAAAGCAGAAAATCCTTAAAGTACTGCTTCTTGGCTAATTAGAGAGGTTGTGGCCAACGTTTTCAACGCAAAAATATGTACATCAGACGTTCAGCGCCGCCTTCCTATACCTAGAAGTTTGACAATGGCATTTTTAATGTCAGTGGAATCATGCTCGATGTTCCAAATGCTATTGTCAAACTTTTAGGCTTACAGGAAGGCAGCGCTGAACGTCCGACGTAGACATTTTTGCATTGAAAACATTGGCCGCTATCTCTCTATTAATGCAATACTCTATTGTTGTCACATTAATTTTGTGCATTTCTTCACGTACAAGTGATATGGTTTACCATCTAACATGTATGTCAAAATCATTAATCCTGCTTGATTTTATAAGATTCTTTGATTCAAAAGATAAAAGAAATACAATGATAATTTTTATTGCTTCACTTTTTGATTCAGTCAATTCTTTTCTTAAACCAATTAAATCTTAACTAATTTCAGGAAGGAGTCGAAGAGTGAAAATGTTCTAAAATCTGATCAAGTCAAACCCCTGCAACACTCGCCTTTACAGAATATATCTGGGAGTAGACTGCCAGGTACGTATGTATTTTATTTGCATTTTTTCTTTCCGACAAAATGTTTACAGCAAATACACTCTTATAGCAAAGAAAGTAATCAATAGTGTATCCAAAACGACCGACAGAGTTTGTCCACCTGTTATTGATTCCGCTCCTGCAGAGCAAGAAGAAGAATGTAAAATACAGTAACTCTCACATGCTTCTTGTACAGTATATTATCAGTGATATATATATTTTTAATTTAATATCTTAAATTTGTTACAATGTGTATTTTAAATAAAATATTTTAACCTTTTGTATTTTTGTTTTTTACTGTCTTTTCTATCAGACAGTGATGTAAATGTAAAATAGTGCCATTTATGAGTTTTTAGTATTGTTATTTTTGACAAAATAACACAAACAGTAATGGTAACAATTGCAAGACGGTCATTTCTTCATATCATTGGTACTACTATTCAATATGTTGACATTTGAAATTCTAGAAATATGAGACAGAAAAGATGCAAATTTAAAATGTATTGATAGTATGCTTACAACTGGAATGATACAGGAAGTGGCCATCATAGTGTTTAGTTCAAAGATGTAGTTTGGGCGATATACGGTGTGGGTGGATAGAAACTAAGCATTGAAAAATCACTAATTTTTCTAATAATACCGGCAATCATAATAAAATGTGTGTGCATATACATCAATTAATAAAATTTTATAATTCTCACAGCTGTGGGTATTGACAGTGACAGATAGAGGCCGTATGCTCAGTGGAAAAAAAAAGATGGCCAATCACACGTCCATTTGGGAGCGAACACAGATTGCTGCATGCTACAAAATGTGGAAATCAGTGGTTGCTGTACAGAGATACTGGTGTATGAAGGGATGTTGTGACACAATCCATCCAGAAAGAATTGAGAACTATTATTCAAAGCTAACAACAACAGGTTTGATTGTGGATGTACAGAGAAGTGTCCATCCATCACGTTGCGATCCCAAGTTGGTGGATGGCACCATTGTCTACATTGAATTTTAAGATATATATCTGTATATTCATTTAATAGGATACTGTCCGGTACATGTCATACTTTCTTCATCTCTGTGTTAGAAATATACAAATTAGGCGATTTTTCAATGACTAGTAACTTTCTACCCATCCCATAGTTCTGGAGTAGGATTGAGTATATGCCCATCCGAGCATGTCATAACCTTACCCGTGAAGATGCAAAACTGATGTTTTGCAGTCAACTCTACACAAGAACAAGTCCAATTTATCACGAGATCAATTGCACTTATAAATATTTTGATTTTCCTGTGTTTATGGGAATTGTCTATCAGTATGCAAGTCTTATTTGATAATTTTGAAGAGGTTAAATACATGAATATTTTTTAGTGTTAAATCTGTACTTCTTTTGTACCAAGTACAAAGATTGTAACATTGTAAGTACTGTTAGTAACCTACTACTATTGCAAACAAGTTATGAAAATGTAATAAATGATCTTGGTAAGTCTTATAAATTACAATGTCCATTGGTCAATTTTTTGTTTTGTTGTACCGTGGGCCTAGAACCCACACAGTCAAAATGTATTGAGCAAAAATCCTACGACCCGATCGATACAATTGTTTTTTAATTGCGAGTCGAGCGAATCTTTTTTGTGGTCGCAGGCTAAAGGCTTTCTTTGGAGGCCGAGAGTCCGATCTTTTGTAACAGGGACAAAGGTGGGGGAGAGACCCGCATTACAATTTTGAAAACTGCTTCAGCACACCATTAAAAATCACTTCTAGCACCACACTTTATACACGTGCCATAGATTGCCAAACTCTTCTGTAGGATGTGAAGACCGTATCAAAAACCATGACCGGAAGACCGAGGCGGTCATGTTGGCCCACCCCTCTGGGACTTGGAATTGATCTGGGTGAACAATCCAATACTGATCCCTCACCACCTTTCCAAATCCACGATGGATATGATTAAAATAACCCTCCTTAAAGCTCAAAGGATGAAGGAAAAAAAATGGGTAAAACAATTTGTTGAATGCATCAGAGTTAACGTCAATATGATGCGAATTCCTAATTTTTATAACTAATTAATTTAGAAAATGACGTCAAATTGACGTAAGAGCGCATTACCGAAACTAAACGAACGAAGCTTCGAGTTTATGGTAGTCGGCCCTCTGGTGATCAAAATTAGTTTTTAAATAAAATCGAGCGAATTCGAAATTTTTAAAGGAAAAAGAAAATGGAGGATGAAACGGAAAATGAAAAATTTCAAGCAGATTCGGAAATGGAAGATATAGAAGGAAGTTTGGAGGAGTGTGAATTGGAGGAAAGTTTTTTGGAAGAGGAGGAAGAAATATATAAAAAATTAACGAAAGACGAAGAAATAGTTAAGTTTTGTTTATAAAGAAGAAAAAAGTGATGCCTATAGTCTTAATATAAGTTTCCTAAATTTCAGATTGCGAGACGATATGCCACAAAATGGATGAAGGCGATAAATGATTCGAAAAGAAAGTTTTTTGAAAATATCGGTAAACTATCGCTTTAAATACTTCAATTTATTAAATTCTAGAATATAAACGAATTTTGGGGAAGTTTTATGTATAGTTAATTTTTTTCCGTGCGGGAATTATTGGCGCTACTTTAAAAGTAGAATTTGTGCTTAACGTTAATTTTACATTGTTATAATCTGTACTTTAATCTCAAAAATATCTTTAATTATGTTAAGAAGTACTGTCCAGAAATTACTTGTCTGTCTGCTATTTATTAATCAGAATATTGTCTCATATACAGTAGAACCCCCTATAACGCTGTTGATTATTCCATGTTATATGAATTCAATGTTGTACGAGCCACTTAGATTTTACAAATACGTGAGCCGTTCACAGCCCGGCACACGTATTTGTAAAATCTAAGTGACTCGTACAACATGGAATTCATATAACACGGAATAATCAGTCGTGTTATAGGGGGTCTACTGTATTTATAAACATAATTTTTCTGTTACTGTAATTCTTAATTGTAGAACCACGAGTTCCCCGACGTTCATGGAACAGTGTCAAGTTCTATTCTGTTCTCATTCTGTAAACTTATGTTTTGAATGTGCATTCAGTTTGGAGCACTGTGCACCCCAAGTGCACTAATGCGCACCAACTGTACTGAAAGTCAGTGCTCGTCACGGAAAATTCGGTTTTCTCAAAATGGGTCAACCTGAGTGTGCATCAGATTTATAACATCTAACGTACATTGTCACAGTACACTATGACACAGTACATTAAATGTTCTCATAATTGATACAATGACAAAAGATATAAGAAAATAAACTTTCTTACAGAAAATATCGTTTTGCAGATCCCGAAATAGTACAGCAACTCATATTTCCAGATTGTTTGGCAATATTCACAAAAGAAGAGTCGGTGGGCGAATTCGTAATCGTAATGGGCAGAATAAACAGAGAAAATGAACGGTGCATACTGATTCACGTGAACAACTCTGCCGTGATCGATGACGTAAAATACGCGACCGACATAACAACGATCTGCACCACGAATCTGGAAACTCTGCAACAAGTTTACCGTAGAACGGAAGAAGTAACTATTGTATTTTAGATTAATGGAATTAGGAAAATGGACGGAAACTAACGATTTTATTTGCAGTCGGAAGAAAACATTTTTGACCAAAGAATTGTGTTATTAAGGGACGAGAAGAATTACACAGTTAAAAAAATCATTTTTAATGGACAGGTACTGTACGTAATTGTTATTTTTATTATTGAAAATTAAATGTAATTCGACGATTATACAAAAAATAAGTTATAAGTTGCATCAGTTTGAGCACTAGTGTGCCCCAGAAGAAAATTGAAATATCAAAGAGAAAATGGTGCGATTTTCATGTGCATCAGATTCTCTGAAATTGATCTTATTTGCCTCTTATGTATATGTAACAACGAATAAGGATTTGGAAAACTAGGAACATAACACTGAAAACAGACACAGGAAGTTCATCAACACTGCTAGAATATGCAATCAAGAATTCAAAGTTATCTGGAATCACATTCGTTTTTAGACTCATACACCCACTAAACTTGATTTAAAAAATTAAAACCAGATTTTAGTACGGCCAATATAACGCTCTCTTCCTCTTGTTTCTGTATTTTCACCCATCCTTCTTATCCGACCACTTGTTTATGACGTAGATAAAAATAAGAAGGCCACAATTTAATAATAAGTAGCAAATTCCAGACACTACAATTTTACTCGTATTATTACTAATTTAATTTACACGTGTGCTGGTGAATTCTCAATAGCCCAGACTGCACACTTATCAGAAGAATGTACTGTATCTTTCGCAACAATGGTTCATTTTTAAAATAAAACGAAATTTTAAAAAGTAAATTCCGCGGGACTCTGAAATACGGAACATTTTCTTAGGAAAATTCTGGAATTCGGAACATTTTGGTTTATCGTTTTATTTGCATACGGGCAACGGGACACATGGGCGATCTATCGACGAAATGCCTCCAGGGCGGACTTTCTACGCAAAACTTGCACCTGTTTAGGTGTTACTAATGTGAAGAGAATCTGGAAACTCGAATCAAGCACGAACACATGACTAACTACCGGTGTTCAGTGATTTTATCCACTCGGCCACTGGTGAGCCAGAACATTTCGGCATTTCGACAAAAACTGTGGGGACAATGGGACAGAGGTCAAATACAGAATGGTCCAATACAATATGGGACAACACTTTAGATAAATGCATCTTTTCCAAAAAAATTGTAGCTCTAATGTATTACAGGTAATTGGTAAGGCAATTTATATTATCATTGTAATTTTAGTTAAGAGCAATGCCTTGTGTTCTTTCTCTAAATAATGTAAACAAATAAATAATCCCCATAAAAAATTTTACAAATAAAACAATATATATCCAAAGATTGTGTTGGGATGATTTGGCAAACTAAGAATAATAACTGTCAGAGCGACTGAATGCTCTGTGTTTCTAAGGATAGTAATATAACTGTATCTATAAAATAATTGTGTGCAACGTACGTTTAAGGGAGGATGCTGCGTACGTTAGGATGGTTCAAACACAATTTCTCAAAATTCGAGCTGAAAATTTCAAGATGAGCCACATACCCGCAGGGAGGCACTCGATGTTAATGGTAATATCCTAAAGGCCTACTTCTTGAAAACTTATTTATTTATCTATTCCGGACACGGCAGAAAAAATGGGCTTTGTATATACTATGATATCATGGCGTATAAGCAAACTGAGGTGTGTGTAAAAGCTTGGACGATGGACATCACCATATGCTCTTTGCTGTTGGCATGGAAAAATTTTCAACGTTTTTGGAGACTGGTTAGTCACTGGTAACAAAAACTGGAATGTGTATGGTAATCCAGTCAGGAAAGGTGTTTGCCCTATTGGAAGGGTCTATTTGTTCTCGAGCCAGTATCCATCAAGAAAAATTAATGTTTGTATTGATATCTGATTGGATAGAGAAGAACCATTGTGAGCTTCTAACTGGTCAAGCCCACCATTGACCGAGTGGATAAAACCATTGAACATTGGTATTTGGTCGTGTGTTTGCTTCTTGCCAACAGGCTGGCCACGTGGAGTTTTCCGATTTTTTCACGTTTGTAACACCTGAATAGGGGCAGTTTCCCATGGAAGTCTTTCCAAGAGGCATGTACTCACTTTGTATGGAGGCCAAGAAGATTGCAGAGCTCTTTGCTAGCTCTGTCATTCTTTCCTTTTTATTTCTAAGTATGATCAATTCATCACATTCGAAGATATCTTTACAGATACACGAAAAGATTACTAGAATAATACCAAGAGAAGAATTACCGGGATTTATATCGGAAGGCGCGAGCTTCTTGCTTCATCGATATATTCTCAAGACTAAAATGAAGGGTCCATTCTGTTTAAACGGAATAGACACAAATTTAGGAAAGTGTACCGTGACCTTCGTAAGTATTTATTCGGTATTTAAATTATAACTATATTTAATAGTTTATATATTCAATTTTATGACCTTCCACTCGCGAATAATTAAGTTTTCTAATATCTGTAATGGAGCTTTCCATCAAAACACAGTAAACACCGTGTACACTGTTTTTACAAAAGAAAATTAAACTTTGATTTCTATATTCTAACCTGGTATAAGCAAATAGAAAATCGAGCAACGAGATACGTAACTTTTCCGGTTAAAAAGTTAAATTTGTGTGTGGCACCATCTATTAAGAGTTTTTATTAATTAATAATATAAAAAGCTTAATTTAGACAAAGCTACATGCTATAATCTACTGTTAATGCAGGCTATATGTAACACAATAAGTATTTATGTGTCTAAAACTATAGAAAAAGTACAGGCAAANTAAAGCGACTTTAATACAACTGAATAAACAAACCAATGACAGAGCCTATTTCATTTTTAAATGAAATAGGCTTGCTTATTCTGTTGTATTAAAGCCGATTTTCTAGGCAACGTGCTCAAGGCCTCCAAAAAAAATCCAGCAACGAGTTGCGTAATTTTCTTGGCTGTTATAAGATTTTATTAAAAAGTAACATTAATTATAATAAAATTTGTGTGTGGCACCATCTATTAAGAGTTTTTATTAATTAATAATATAAAAAGCTTAATTTAGACAAAGCTACATGCTATAATCTACTGTTAATGCAGGCTATATGTAACACAATAAGTATTTATGTGTCTAAAACTATAGAAAAAGTACAGGCAAATACAAAATTTTCGGCTCCATTATAATCCTAGGGGACTTCCGTATGTATTACATTTGTGTGTTGCTTAACACATACCTGTTATGCATTCTTTCGACATTGAAGAATTCGGTAATTTAAACACAGCTTATATAAATTATTTTTTAAAACTATTTTTAGGTTCCTTTAGAAGAAATGGGGCAAACAATCCAAAGGCATCTGGTGTATATAGTTGGCGTAAAACAGAAGACTACAAATTTTAAAAAGGAAGAAGAAACATGGACGACTTATTATAATCATCTCGATTTGTATGCATTACGTATTTATTCAGTCGAACCTCCAATTACGACCACTTTTAAACGGCAGCCATTTTTTTAAAGTTTCTTTTGTGGCCGTTGTTTAGAGGTTTGGTTGTATCTACTGTATTTATACTAATAAACAGCCCACTGTCTAACTCTTTTCATCTGGCAGTGCGCTATTTATTATAGGGTCTCTATTATTTCTATTTTTTGAAAATTGAATGTGACTATTAACCCGTTACCCTTCAGAATTAATTCTTTTTGAAGGCAGGCAGGCAAATAATATGGCTTGCTGACATACACAGAAATAAAACCCTAGGACGTATGACATGACTAATATTTTCATAGAAACGGAAGCGCATAGGCGATAACACTGTGGTATGCCAGATAATTGAGAGGCCGAATTGCTAATTCGTCCTCTCAATTATCTGGCATCATACTGAATTTTTAGATAGTAAATTAAAAACGTAAAATGTAAACAATTTAATAAATGTATGCAATTATAATATAGTGTTATTGCCAAATTTTCTAGCTTTAATTTTTAAATACTTTCAGCCACATGACACAAAGAAAACAATCCGACTCTCCAGTCGAAATGGTTCTAGTACGTCTGCCAATCGGATTGGGAAGAGGTACTGTATATTATTTTTTAATCTAAATTAATGCTAATGATGTTAAGTATTGTTTGTAATTTCTATATTCTAATGTTATATCAACTATTATAACCAAATTATAATCAATTATTGAGATAGTGGGCACGTTTCCCAGTAAAGCGACTTTAATACAACTGAATAAACAAACCAATGACAGAGCCTATTTCATTTTTAAATGAAATAGGCTTGCTTATTCTGTTGTATTAAAGCGGATTTTCTAGGCAACGTGCTCAAGGCCTCCAAAAAAAATCCAGCAACGAGTTGCTTAACTTTCCTGGCAACATTTAAAATTGCATGTGTGGCGCCATCTGTTATAGTTTATTATTAAAAACTTTTTATATTTTTAATTATTATAAAATGGAAAAAACTTAAGTTTTGAGGTTAGGGATGGGTTTTATAAAAAATTGTAAATGCTAATAACGAGTCAAATCGTCATTAAGTCCGATCTTACTAGAGATACACACTACCCCCTTTATCTCCCCACCCCTCGACATTTAATCATCAAAATCTAATAGTATCAATCCTTCTAATAAATAAACCTATCTCCCCACCAAAAAGCACAGGAGTTATTAAAAATTGTTATTTATAATTTTTAGCTCCTCCAAACTTTTTGGCTGATTGGGAATCGAATCCTCAACTGTGGTCATATTTTAATGAAAGAAAGGTATAAGTCTTGCATTAATATAAACAATTATTTTTGTGATTCAATTCAATTCTTTATATTCCAGGCAGCCATCGTTGCGGATTACATGGAATATCTTCATAGGAATCCCGAAGTGAAGGCACTATTATCCGATTTTCTTTTGTTTCTTCTTCACAAGAAACCTTCTGATATTTGTGATGCTGCAGCGCACTTTTTTAATGACTACTTGAAAGATTATTAAACTATAAAAATTTAAATTTATTAACAGCAAAGATTGTTTTGAATTGATTTAAAAGTATATTTACACGTCACAATATTAAATTATAAACGAACTCGCACATATGGTGACTTGGCTGCTCTATGGTGCAGGGTGTACGGTACATGTTCGTAATAATTGCAACATTTTTCACACAAGATATAGGGTGATATCGATAAAGGATACTAATTAGGAATGATGGCAAGTGCAAAAATTTATTTTTAATTGTTTTGTTTTGGTTTGGTTTGGTTTAATCGTATACTGCAAAGCGACACAAATATGGTCTACCGAGGATCAAATCTCCAGGGAGATCTTTCATGTGGAAACTTCATTTTGATTTTACTAACTGAAGAAAATGCAAAAAACTCCACATGACTAGCCTGTTGTCGAGGGGCAAACCCAACGACGAGTGTTTAGTGGTTTTATTCACCCGGCTACTGATGGGCTTCAATGGTTTTGGAGTCTTTTGTTTTTGGGTGATACAAATGGATTCCCATAAATATGTTTGGTAAATCAACCCAATGGTTTTTTTAATCACTTCTGATTGATTAACTGGCAAAGCAATCTATGGCAAGGGATGGCATTAGTTCCTCTCTAGTTGTGAGCAACGAGCTAGAACATTCGAACTTGTTGTGTAAAAGTGTGCAAAGGAAAAGAAGTTTTAATTAACCCTTAACTGAGATAGTGCGAGTCAAAATGACCCTACTTTTTTTAATTTTGAAAGTAAATAAGAAGACATTTCTTTCTTTTTAGAAGGATTTTTACTTCAATAATGTGGTTCATAACATGACAAAACGTAGTTTTTCATTGTAAATATTTTTACAAACTATAACTATAATAAAATCACAAGAACAATACTTATATTCTGCAAAAGAAAAAACACTGTCCAAAGAAAATGAACAACGTACTGAGTATGGTACGGATCAAACTGACCCGAATACACTATAAATAAACAATCATATGACTGAAAATAAGTCCCTTTAAGACCTGGCTCGTACTTAGATTATAAAAATATTGCTATATTAAGGTTAACTACTACATTTACCACTTTAAACTCTGATCTTATCTACTATATAATTAAATAAAATATAGAAAATTGCTAATTTTGAGATGAAACAATGTAGATTTATATCACTTATCTAATCACCTAAATCTCAAATCTAGAGGAAAATAAAACAATCTAGATTTAGATGAGAAAAACAGATTCTACAGTCACAATCCTACTCATGGTATAAACTTCAATGTTTTGACTTAAAATAAAATGGAGGTCGATAGTACCTGTCGTTGCCATCAAGAGCGCTGTATCTAAGGTCACAGCCATTCTATGTAGTATATTCTAGCTTGTTGGTAAAAGCCAACAACAGATAAAGAAAGGGAACAGGCTGAAATCTCCATTTGACCTTAGACAGACTGACACAGAGATAAGTCAAAAAGTAATACAAGTTTGGTAAGAGTTGCATAAGGATGATGCAATCGTTCCTATTTTACTTTCTCAGCTGTTTATATATAACAGCTGAGAAAGTAAAATAGGAACGATTGCAGGATAGGGAAAATATGGCGATTGGTTAAAAAGTGACCCCAATACTTTTACATTTTTGGACTCGTGACTTTAACATTGAGAAATGCAAGAAAAGTTAAGGTTTTTTCTGTGTATGTTACCGTGCGTGCACATTTACAGGATTTATGAATTTGTTCACCCTGTTCGAAACTTAATAACTCCAGTCTTTTGTCAAAAATTTCTGAAATTTTGCAGGGAGGTTTGTGCATTAGGATGATGCTATTAAATTTTGGTGGTTAAAGGTTGAGGGGGTGGGGAAATAGAGTGGGAGCCATGTGTCATATCTCTGGTGAAGTCGGACTTAATAAAGGTTTTACTCGTTACTAGCATTTACAATTTATTTATTTATTTTTTAAAATAAAACTTGTCTGTACCGTCAAAATTAAGTTTTTGCCATTTTATAATAATTAACAACATAAAGTTTTTAAAACAAAATCTCGTAATAGATGGCACCATGCACAATCTTAACTTTTTTGCTGAGAAAGTTATGCAACTGGTTGCTGGAATTTTTTGTGTAATTANTGATAAAAGGGATCATGTCTTATCTCAAGTAGGGGTCAGACTTAATGATGATTTTACTCATTATTAGCATTTACAATTTTTTATAAAACCTGTCTGTACCGTCAAAATTAAGTTTTTGCCATTTTATAATAATTAACAACATAAAGTTTTTAAAACAAAATCTCGTAATAGATGGCACCATGCACAATCTTAACTTTTTTGCTGAGAAAGTTATGCAACTGGTTGCTGGAATTTTTTGTGTAATTATGATTAGGGATAAGACATGCAGCTGTGTTTGTGTACCGAAGGTGACATTATTCTGGACGAGCAAACAATCAAAATGGACAAGGCAGATGGTTCCATTACTGTTCACAGGACACTGCAATCACGCATCAATATTGAACATTAAGTTGAGCACTCGGGATTCACTCTTGGAAGATTGAGTTGAATGGATACAAAAATTTAATGCAAATTCAATAAAATTCCCACTTTATGTGACTGCTAATTCATAAGTAGTATAGAAATAGAAGACACTATATAACATAAATAAAAAATTAATTTTAATTAGGAAAAGAATTTTTGGAAAATTTTCTACTGTTTGTCATCCTTTTTCTTTAAAGGAAACCAGGGCCCCTTGGACCCCTGGAAAAAAAAAACACATAGATATTCATATAGGATTTGCTATTTGTAATGATTCCCATGTTCCCATGTTTGTTTTTCAAGTGTGGCTGCGGTATTTGCCGTAATTATCCTAGAAATAGTGGTGCCTTTTTCTATCAGCAAAACGGGAATTTGCCTGGGACCCCCAAACCAATCTTTTATAAAAAATATATTTTCCCAGAAGAAAAATGTCTGAAGTCAACACTGTACATTTATACATCTTCATTAATTTTATTTTTTCTCTCCTTTTCTTCTATTCAGTCACTGTTAAAGTGTTACAAAATATTACATCTTTTGAGAAAATGCTTACATGAAAATACATCACACAAACATTATGTTATTTGGACAATGGACTCTTATAAATTATAATTAATAATGTTTTATAATTCTGCTTTATACAAATACTCCCATATACAGAATTATTTCACGCATCTCCCTTTGGGTGTCTGATTTGGTTTTACATCAAAATCACTATATTGCTATGGTATCTTGAGCAACTGCTTTTCTGTTGTTGCCATAGGCTATCCACCAGAAATCATTTTTCTGTTGACACTTTCTCAGTCTTTTCTGCTCTTTCCTGTAAGTGTTTCTTCTGAATCAAGTATTGAAGAATTTGTGTAATTAAACAATACTCTTTCATTTTGCTGGTTTTATGACTTTATTGGTATACAGCAATGTGGCACATGAGCGATCTTCCAATGGAAATGCCTCCTGGAAAATCTTTCATTGGAAGCTGGTCCCTATTTAGGTGTTATTGTTTGTTAAGTTATGGCAACGCAACATTTGGGCGATCTTCCTATGGGGATGCCTTTCGGGAGGTCTTTTTAAGGGAAACTGGACCCTATTTAGGTGTTACAGACGTAAAGAAAACCCAGAAAACTCCACGTGGCCAGGCCCATCTGAGCAAGGCACGAACCCACGACCGAACTCCCAGTGTTCAGTGATTTTATCCACTCAGCCAGTGGTAGACTCTTTCATTTTGCAGTTTAATTTTTTCCCTATCTCTATTGGTTTCCAGTTAATTTTCTTCAGTTGTGTATTTTGCCACTAAGGGGATCTAAAATCACATTCAATGGGCTGCACCTTTTCACTTTCCTTTAGGTACCAATTATTTCCATGGCACTATAACAGGTAGTTTAAAAGTTATAGAGGATGTATAGACTTTCCTAAGAATCCTATATAATTCACCTTTGAAGTTAATGTCTCTAAAAGCCTTTAATTCCTATATTTTTTAAAAAATAAAGAAAAATTATTTTTTTAAGAAAATATATTAAATGAAACTAGTTTACTCTCTAAAAACTTTCAATAATGAAATAACAACAAATCTTATTACAGAGAATGAATACTTACCGGGTACAATAATGATGGGGAAACTGCAATCCACAGGTCATTTGAAGCCTGTAAGAGGATTTTCTGTGGCCTGCAAGCAATTACAGATTATTATTATTGATCAAAATTGACTAAATTTCTTTAAATCTATTTCTCATATTCTTATTTATGAATCAAAATTTTCTGTAAAATGTATTTTAAATTTAGATAAAATGTAAAGCAGTACTGTGTGTATGCATGTGTGCATGCACACACACATGAATATACACAGTACTATACATATATACGTATACAGTATATACAATGGTTTTTCCCAATGCAGCCCATATAGTTGATAATTTCTTGGTAGTCTACACATAACAAAGTTTTCCCACCCCACAACCTTCAAAGTGTCACCCCATGTTTCATGTTCTTTGTTCTTGTAAAGAAGATACCAAGAAATATTCTGTCAGAAGATCATGACAGAGTCTGATAATGTGCCAAGTTTGCCAAGATGTTTTGTGAAGATAATGTGATGTGAAAAGACCATTGCTGAGATGCTTCCACCATTGTACTTTTCAACTCTTGTTATCTGGTAGCACTATCAACCAATTTCCTTTTTGAGAAAAGCCTACAAGGATTGTATGGAGGTCATACTCATACAGTCAAAACTTTTTGGTGGCCATGGAAGAAGTGATGGGGATGCTTTGAGATACACATCACAATCAATCTGATTGGGAACTGTTTGTCCAAGCACCTGGAACTTCATCAAGGAGTCAACAGTGCAAACAGATAATAGAAGAGTTAAAAAATGTAATGATAAGAACAATTTCTCTTCTCACACTAGATCATATCTGCAAACTCTGCCATGAATATAATGGTATTCATATAATAAAAGCCATAGTCACAACTGTTCTGACAAGCCAAGTATAAGATATGTTCTGACATATGATGTGTCTTGTAATTCTTTACAGAACAAAAGCCAAAGTGACACAATTTCTTAAATACCCTGTAAAATTAGTTTGGAAGTATTCAATTGTAAAAATTTTAGAGCGTATTTAAAATTATATATCAACGCATCAATACAAGGTAGCTTCAAAAATTTTCCAGAATTATGTTGAGTTAGTCAATTAAAGGCAATGAAAAAGGGAACATGTAATGCATGTCTTAGCTAAACATGTCAGGAATATAGAAACATGTTCAAACAAGTCTGTATTCACTGTGAAGATGACAACAGTTGTCATTCACTGAAGGTCATGTTAATGAGACATGGAACAGAATCTGGCAAAAATGTCTGAGGAGAACAACATGCAAATATCAAATTTTGTGTGTTATTGGAGGGAAAAAAAACTCTCTGAAACCCTGAAGATGTTTCAGGATGCCTATGGTGACTGCCATGAAGCATCTCAAGTTTATGACTGGCATAAATGCTTTCGTGAGGAACAGGAAAGTATTGCTGATGATTTGCAAAGTAGTCGTCTGTTGACATCAACATCTGAGAAGAAAGTGTCAGTACTTGTGATTGTGAGGTCAGAGAGATGATAGTCAATTGAGCAGATCTTCAAGACAACAGGAATTTTGGTTGGAAGTTGTCATTCCATCCTGCATGATCAATTGAACATGCACAGTGTTTGCAAGCACATGGTGTCACAAACGGTCATGGTAGACGTTGTGTGGAGATCTCATCAAACTGGCCAATAAGAATCAGGAATTTCTTGACATCATTATCACAGGTGATGAAACCTGGTGTTTCTTGTATGATCCACAACCAAAACAACTGTCCACGAAACAGTAGTGTAGCGTAGTGGAGGTGGCAGGAGCGGCCCGCCCCAGGCGGCACTTTTTAGGGGTCGGCAAAATTTCACAATAAATAATAATATCTTGTAAGAATTTGAACCATTTTATTTCATATTTTCATGCACCTACAATTCGGACCATTGAAATGAGCACGGAATACCATCTGGACAGTCAGGAATCGACTCGCCATCCGGGGATGTCGTGCGCAACCTGTTCTTTTTTTTTTTTCTTGTACGATTTATTCGTATATATATATACGAATATCAATTGAACATGCACAGTGTTTATATATATATATATATATACACACACTTTCAATATCCAATAGAGCTAGGTCACTCCTATCCAAGTCTTCCTAGTCGCTAACTGTAACTAATTTAGAACCAGCATGCACTGCAAATTATTCTTTGCATTGCAAAATGACATATGCATGCATCAGGAACTTCTGTTCGAACAAACCTCACCTGCCGTCCAGGTCAGCGATTTTAAAAAAGTGGCAACACTAGCACGGAATTTTTCATTACTTATTCTGTGACGAAACTGAATTTTAGTCTTTTAAATTGAGATACCTAAATAAGGGGGCGGCGAAATTTTCCTCTGTCCCGGGCGGCTGACACCCACGCTAC